AATTGAAAGAGTCCTTCCAAGTTATTATGCCACAGTTGAAATTTGAGTATATGATATTTACTAGGGGTGAGCATCGGGTTCGGTTCAACTCGGGAACTAGATTGAACCGACCTAGAAGAACAATAGGTTCAGAGCCGATTCTAGAGAGAACCGGTTCAGTCAAAGAATTCGGAACGCATATTAGTACAATCATACTTATTTATGTAGTCTCAGTCAAGTGAGAACCAGTTCGGTCCACGGTTTTATCAAAGTTACTTTCTCTTCTCACCCACCTCTCTCTAGTTCTTTTTTTTCTTCCACTCCAAGGTCCATCGACAGAAATAACTCTCAATTGAGGGAGGCTCCATCTTCTTAATTTGAATTGAGATTTTCTCCCCCGATCTGATCTGGGATATTTTATTGTTTTTATCTTGTTTTTGTTTTTTCTTTTTGCTCCTTGCTAATGCTATTCTCTACTTGTTGGGCGTATCTTCCCCTTTCATTAGTAAGAATCAACCCGCTGTTTTAGATCTTCCAAACCAAGAAGTCCGACAGGATCGAGCAGTAATACAGTGAGTCCATATTGCACTGGAAACGGTTATGCGACTTCTCTAAATTTTGGAAGCTCTTATCTCCCAATCTAGATCTAGAGCTAGGAACTCTTCTCTCTCGATCTACATTTAGATTTGGGAGTTTCTTAGAGGCGTTTCTTTGCTTGTTCAATCTCTCCCAATCTAGATCCAAATTTGGGAGCCTATTCAACCTGTTTTTGGTGTCTCCGTACGGTAATTGTGTTGAGGACACTGAACCTAACTATGCACCGCCCACTAGCCAAGCCGTAGCTATTAAAGAAGGTGACTATAGTGTGTGCTCTCATTACTTATGACGATATGAGATTTAGCGATCGGCCGCCGTTCATTTTGCTTTGATGATGAGACACTTCTTGTTGAATAGAAGTGTGCTTATTAAACAGTTTTTGCTCTATTGTTATACTTTGCTTGGGAATTGCTATATTTTGAACTTTTCGTGTATTATCTTGAGATCTTGAAATATTTACTTTCGACTAAAAAAAAAGTTACAATTTGACTAGCGATAGATACTTCGCATTGGAGATTAGCCACCATTTTATTATCAAGATAATCACTTATGAAAATATCACACATATGTTAATCATCCAAACACTAACTTTACCATACCAATTAGAAATCACTTGGTTTAACAAAGATTAGTCTTGCTAGAAAAATTAACCGATCGGTCCTAAAGTTATGGTATAGATGCCAATTCAATCATAAATTTTTCAATTTTGTCAATCTAACCCTAAACCATTGCGCCAAATTATAATGTAGTCCTTTCGGACAATTTTCACCGGAAATTAATGACCTGGCAGTCTAGTCATTGCCGGTTGTACATATTGCCATGTCGGCGATTTCTGGCAAAAATTGGTGAGAAGTACTCTAATAGAACTCCATACAAAAATTTAGGACTAAAGTGGCAAAATTGGAAAATTTAGGACTGAATTGATATTCGGAGCATAGGTTTAGAACTGATTGTACAACTTCCTCAGTGTTGCATAGGGAGCCAATCAAGCTTTTCTCCCGTTCAAACACGCAAGGTGAGTAACTTCACTCTCTCACTTCTTAAAATTTAATAATACTATCGATTCTAAGACTTGTCGAGGTGTAAAGAAAGAAGGGAGAAGTATCCTCGTGGAAAGTCATGGACAACCTTTTACCTTTTTATGAAAAGGAATGGTCGACATTGGCCCATGAAAGAAGGCCAGAGACGGTCGAGGATCTCCCCTTTAATAATGGATCAACCGAAGCCGGAACGAAACTTCTGGTCGAATATAATCGGTGAACACCTAATTCCCTAATGGGGGAGGACATCTTCTAGTGGCCACATATTACCTGAATTCATTTGGAGATCATAATAGGAAAATGGAACGACTTTATGGCGGGGATGGGTCGGCAATTTCAGACGCGAATTGACGCGTTTGTACGCGATCATGTGACGAATCCGAGTACGACACCGCATGCAGATGCACGAGTTTATAGCGTGATCGATGGAAGCACGCGGCTCGACAAGATTACAAAATCCGATGACGAGCAAGCGCGAATGATTGGTCCTATTTTATGATCGTTATTAGTGGCAATGTGGCGTGACGTGAAACGAAGGGGAATGATACCTTTTTCGGTAAGATGATGGGGCAATTAATTTAAAGAGAGGCGTGATGCGCTTCCTGAATGAGAGAGGTCAGCATGCGCGAGCAATTTTTTTTTTTTTTTAAATTCGATGCTTAGAAACATATGACGACTTTGCCTTTCTAACTAAACATCAGTTAACGAGCGAGTTTCCTAATCTCACGAGTTTCTGGCGAGGTAGATTTCATGTTTTAAGTAAGGTAAGATGTCTGACTTTCTATTCAAATTTGGAATTGTCATGTTATTTTAGGTTGTTCGATATATTATCACTTCGAAATTTCATTTGCATCCGAGTTCATGTCTGAATTCACTTTTACTTTTTACTTAGTCAAAATCTTGCGCAATTTAACTATTGTTTTTATCGGAAACACTTAAAACTATAAATGTTAATACATAAATTTTTTTTTGTCAAAAGAAAATTGTATTCATTGCTCCAAAGATTACATGAAAAGTACATATAATTTCATGGCAAAACAAATCGAAGTAAAGCAAAGCTCAAAATATAACAAAATAAAGCCAAATCCAGGAAATGAGGAGAATGAATAGAACATCGGCAGGGTTAAGCACACATTCATTCCATAAAAACGGATCTGTCAAGCAAAATAATCGGCGGCCGATCATTAGGTCTCATATCATCAGTGATGAGCATATGCCGCAAATTCCTTCTTCAATAACTTCGGCATTGCTAGTTAGCGGTGCATGCCTAGGTTCGACTTTCTTTATACCATCGCCGAATGGAGACAACCAAAACAGGTTGAATAAACACAAATTTAACTTTTGGAGGAGCAAATCTTCATACTTAAGCGAGACGCCAAAGCTTCTGCAATCACCAGTGAAACTGGATATAGAGAACTTGTGCACGAACAAAACACGAGGGTATCGAATCCCTGAAAACATTATTAAACTCTCAAATTTAAATCAGGAAAATATAACTCATAGATCTATAACTAAATTAGGAGAGTTCAAACTTTCAGATCTAGAACTAGACCGGGAGAAGAGAGCTCCCAGATCTAGATCAGGAGAGAAGTAAAAATAAGAAAATAACAAGAATACTCTAACAAAATAAACAAGAGAGGGAGGGGAGGGTGAGACTAGCTCAAACCCTCGCTGAAGCTTGAAGAAGACGATGGAGAGAGAAGAGAGAGGGAGAGAAAAAGACTCTTCGGCTGCTTTCCAAGTTTTTTTGGATTAGAAATGACCTAAGCGTTGATATTAGGAGTGAGCAAGATGAACCGCCCAAATCGGGACCGGACCGGATCGAGCCAGACCGACCGATTTGGTTCGGTTCTCGGGAATATCGGTCCAGCTCCTTGTTCCTAAAAGTGGAATCGGTTTCCGGGCGATCCGATTCGCAGTTCTAGGGTAGGAACCGGATCGGACCGGACCGATAAATATATATTTTTCTAATTTTTTCATATATATATTTATTTACTTTTTAAATATATATATTTAAATAACAAAATAAGCATTTGATAGTTTATTTTTATTCGGTTCCAATGGGACCAATCCAAAAATGCTTTCATATATTGGTCCCAAAAATGCTTCCTGGTTCCCTCTTGCCTTTACCAATTGGTCTCATTGGAATCGAACTGGACCGGACTGACGGTCCGGTCTGGTCCACGGTCCCAAGATTGGCCGGTTAGATCCCCGGTCCTAGAAACTGGGAACCGGTCCTCCCGGTCCGGTTCCCGGTTCTTGGGTTGGACCGGACCGGACCAGGAACCGCTCACCCCTAGTTGATACGTGAATTACCATACTATTCTTTGATACTTTTTTAAAATTTAGTTAATATTTCTAATTTTGGCACGAAAGCAAAACAATAAATTTTACTTTGATTAATGTCAAATAAACAGTCTATTTGTTTATCATTTTGCCAATTTGTTTCATCAATGCTACTTATAAAATAAATATAAGTTTAAGAGACTATTATTGGATGATTGATTTTCAAAAGTGAGAACAATGTATTTTCATGCTTGGCCATACAAAATGCATGTGTCCTAACTTGTATTTAGCGGTTCTTGTTGATGAACGTCTTTTTCTCTCCTTTTCCTGCAAACTATCACAGGATGTGACAATTTTTTCGTTTTCTCTGCGCTTGAACGCTCATTTGACTGCTGGTAACTCGGGTTGGGACTCACATGAGGAATGAGAAGAAATAGAACAGTTGCTAGGGAGATTTGAGACCTTCAGGAGCTTATACTTGGGTTCTGGTAGTTTTTGCTCAAATGAGAAATTGTAGCTGCATGAAACACTTTCAGGGGCAATGTTCTACGCCCTGAACGATTGTGTGTTTACGTAACTATCAATTCATGAAGCACCGTGGGTGGATTTAGGAAGAACTGGGGTTGAAAGTCAAGGGACTTCCAATGGGCTTTCACGGTTTCACCTTTAGGAAGCATCATGCCCACGCCGGCCTAAGTGTTCGATGACATTCCAAGGCCAGTTTGTTGTCTACTCTTTTGCTCTTTTGAAAGTTTCCTAGGTTCATTTCAGTGTAGTAGTTGTTGGAATTACTTTTCCTTAGATTTGAGATATCATGTCCTCCTGTAACCAAAGTCGGCAACAAAAATGATAACCGTAATGAGGTATCAGTGGGGGCTTCCTTTTCCCGGCTTTCTGATTCTAGAGTCATGTTGAAACATTAAACAACAGCAAGATCAACCTTCACTGGAAGAATTGCGTTTCTGCAAGTAACCTATTTTCCAGAGGGAGTGATATGCTGCTAGGGAAGGTATAAAGTTATGCAGGAAATCATCTGAAAAAAGCCATACCATCTATGCACTCTGGAAAAGATTACCTCATTTACAAGTATGTAACGAATGGTCGAGAATGTAAACTTCTTTTCATAATCACAATCTATCATATCTCTAGTTGGAGAAAGAATCTCAATAACTACAAGTTCGTCTGTACATTGACTTGTAACTCCACTCCTGATGATATTAATTAGAAGAACACATTTATCAATCTATGTATAATAAATCTCCATCTGAGGTGAAAGGAGCTAATCAGCTCCCACTTACATGTTATGACACAATGATTGAAGGACAATAAATGAACCACATATCTCTTTGGCATCGCCCAAACGTTCCAATTTGATGAATCCAATGGAACTATGAAGTCGTGACCATGAATTCTCTTCATGGAGGAGACTTCTCTTATTCATCTGTGTGCAAAAATTTAGAAATGGAAGAGTTAGACCTGTTCTACCAAAATGAATGCAATGAGTAGGAAGTGCATCTCCATTAATTATGGACAGAAATTGGTAATATTAATTGGAGGTAAATGGTAGTTGGTTCAGATGAATCAATCAATCGTTCCATACCTCAATAATAAATGAGGAATAGAGGCATTTGCATGACTCAAGCTGTTCCTTGTGCCAGAAGCATGATCAATTCCCAACTGGAGGACTAACCGTTTCGAAAGCTTCTACTAGTAAGTGAACTTTTCTTCTCCTTGTTGGAGTTAATTTGAAGACAACTTGCTGAAGGGCATAATCCAACATCCATTCCTCAGTATTTTTCCTTCCATCCTTGTCCTGATGCCTCAAATTGACTTTCTCTGGTTCATCATGGGGCTGAGGGGGAAGATGTTGCGGCTTCTGTAGGTTGAGGTTCCTCACTTTCTCTAATGCCTTGACAAATCTCTTAAGGAGAATTACCTTCTTCAGATTGCTCCAATTTTTCACTGCCCCTTCGCTACGTTTGCTCGCCACCTTGGGCTCCGTTCTATCTGCTTCCTGGGAAGCACCACTAACCGTAATAAATTGGAGCTGTGTTTCTTGATCTGAAGCTCTGGGTTGTTCTGTCCTTTCAGGTTCCACCCTTCCATCGTCAGCTGAATTATTCAATGCTGAAATGAGAGTCTCTGCACATTCTGTCTTCTCATAATGAATGTTCTTACTAGAAAATTGACCATCTGATGAACCTTCCTCTGCTTCCGGAAGAAGGATATTGTCAATTGCTTCTTGTACCAGCTTAATGGCCTCAATCTTTCTGAGTTCCATCTTTTCACAATCAGCCCTCTGACCTAGAGATGTTTGCTGATCTTTTGCTTCTGGTGAATGTTGACAAGAATCGTACCTTCTGTCCAATTTGTTCTCCTCTTCTTCGTCATCCTTGCTGGTTCCATCAAGAGGTGACCTGCTTCCATCTTCTGTATGAAGACCTGATACCATGTGCTTGTGTATCAAGTACCAGAGACTTGAATACTTCTTATTCTCCAACTGTACTTCCTGTTCTGCATTAGTGACACGGATAGGCATGGACTCGTCAAGTGAAGATGAATCAGACAGGAGCTCATCTTTGGAACTTACTCCATGTTCACCTTCTTGACTAGTTGTCATGGGCTCCTTCGATGTGTCATCAACAGATGCTAAAGGGGACGAACCTTTGAGATGTGTTGACTCTGCGTTGTCATCTTCTGGTGAGTCACCTTCAGAATTATTGAATACTGTCACTGCCTCGCCCAAAGAACCTTTGGTCTCGGAGCTTTGGCTGTTTGATCCAGCATCAGCACCCTCAGGTGTTGAATTTAAATTTGGAGTTTTCCTTGTGCGCTCCTGTACATTTTCACTGTTTTCTGCCTTAAAGTACTGATCAGAAATGTCACCTGTGATGACAGACTTGCTCAAAACCTTGTTAGGACCTGAGAAACTAATTTTCATAAGGTTTTCATCGTAGACCTCCCTGCTTAATTCTCTACTGATTGTACAAAAGTCCTGACCTGTTCCTTTGGCCTCAGAGAATGCCACTGGCTTCTGTTGTTCTTTAGTTGAAGAATTGCTGCTTTGGGCAATTGGAAAAGTCCTTGATGGCTTCCCGGTCAAAGTCTTAGCAGAGTGTCCATCCTCAATGGCTATTGGTTTGTCATCCTGGACTGAACAATTCCTGTTGACTTTAGCATGGTGAACAGGATATGAAAATGATATATTGGGACTTGCGAGAGATTCACCTCCTTGTGTTGGGACGACAGTTTCAAAGGCTTCTACAAGGAGAGCTACTTTTCTTTTCTGTGCAGGATCCAGGTTGGAAATGACCCTTCGGAGTGCATGATCAAGCATCCATTCCTCGGATTTCTTCCGCTCTTCTATAGATTGCTGTCTCAAGCTAACCTTCTCTGATTCTGTGTAAAGTTCTAAGGGCGGGCTTCTTGGCATCCTTGGCTTGAAGTTCCTAGTTTTCTCCAATGCCTTGACAAATTTCTTGAGAAGGATGAACTTTTTCACGCTGCTCCATCTATTAAGTGTTGGCTGGTTAGGCTTGTGCCAAATCTTAGTTTTTGTTTGTTCCTTCATGGTATGCAGATTTTCAGTTCTGACCTGCTCTTCTTTCGAATCTGATACTGCACCATTCTGAAGTTCAAGGGAAGTAGAGATGCCTGGTGATTTGGTTTCACCACTGCTTCCATCCTTCTCATCGGAGTGACACCGCTCCTCCAATTTTGTGTCATTAGCTGTTGACTGGCTATCAAACTTCTGATCTGGACTTTGGGAAAGAAGAATTTTGTTAACTGCTTCTTGTAACAGTTTGATGGCATCGCTCTGGCACAGTTCCATCTGCTGTCGATCTGCATCATCGGTTGCTGCCTCAATGCCCTGACACCCTTCAGAAACCTCTTGACGATGGTCCGCTTCATCCACGCCAGGCAGTGTACTGCCATCTTTCACATGTTCTTTCTCATTTTCTAGATTGAACGTCTGCGATCCTCCACTTTCGGCAATGTCTGAGACCATGTGCTGATATATTAGGTACCACAACCCATTATACTTCTTTCCTCCAACAGGAGATGGATTATCTGGCTCTGATTCTTCTTTATCTTCAGGTGAATCGCCTTTAGAATCATTAAAAATTGTCACTTTTTCACCCATTAAACCTTCGGTCTCGGAGCTTTTTCTGTTTGATCCAGCATCAGCACCCTCAGGTGGTAGATTTGAACTTGGAGTTTTCCTTGCACGCTCCTCCTGAACGTTTCCATCACCTGATGATTCAATGTCAATTTCATTTTCACTGTTTTCTGCCTTCAAGCACTGATCAGATAGATCACTCGCGATGGTGGACTTAGTCATAACCACATCAGGACTTGAAAAACTAATTTTCATAGGGTTTTCTTCGTAGATCGCCATGCTTAATTCCCTACCTATTGTACAAAAGTCCTGACCTGTTATTTTGGCCTTAGAGAATGCCACTGGGTTCTCTAGTTCTTCAGTTGCGGAATCGCTGCTTTGGTCAACTGGATGAGTGCTTGATGACTTCCCAGTCAAAGTCCTGGAAGAGTATCCATCCTCACTGCCTTTTGGTTTGTCATCCAGGACTGAGCAATTTATGATGGCTTTAGCATGACGAACAGGAGATGACAACGATGAATTTGTACTGATGGAAGATTGAGCACCTTGTGATGGGACGACAGTTTCAAAGGCTTCAACAAGGAGAGCGACTTTTCTTTTCTGTGCAGGATCCAGGTTGGAAATGACCTTCCGGAGTGCATAATCAAGCATCCATTCCTCAGATTTCTTCCTCTCTTCTGTCGATTGCCGTCTCAAGTTAACCTTCTCTGCTTCTGGGTAAAGGTCTGAGGACGGGCTTCTGGGCATTCTTGGCTTGAACTTCCTAGTTTTGTCCATTGCCTTGATGAATCTCTTGAGAAGGATTAACTTTTTCACATTGCTCCATCTCTTAAGTGTAGGCTGGTTAGGCTTGTTCCAAATCTTAGTTTCTGTTTGTTCCTTCTTGGTATGGAGATTTGCGGATCCAAGCTGCTCTTCTTTTGATTCTGGTGCTGCACCATTTTGCAGTTCAGGGGAAGTAGAGACTCTCAATGACCCGATTGCACCTCGGCTGCCATCCTTCCCATCAGAGTGACACTGCTCCTCCATATCTGTATCATTACCAGTTGACTGGCTATCAAACTTCTGAACTGGGCTTTGGGAAAGAAGAAGTTTGTTGATTGCTTCTTGTAACAGTTTGATGGCATCACTCTGGCACAGTTCTATCGGCTGCCGATCTTCCTCATTGGTTGGTGTCTCAATGTACTGACCATATTCAGAAACCTCTTGACAGTGATCGGCTCCGTCCACCCCAGGCAGTGTACTGCCTTCTTTCACACGTTCTTTCTCATTTTCTGGATTGAATGGCTGCAACCCTCCGCTTTCAGCTATATCTGAGACCATGTGCTGATATATCAGGTTCCACAACCCATTATACTTCTTTGTTCCCCGAGGAGTCCTAAATGGATCATCCGGCTCAGAGTCTCCAATCTGAGGTGCTGCGTTTTCTCCCTTCACTTCACTCACCGAAGATAATTCATCTTTTGTGGCCCTAGCAGATTCTTTACTGCTAATACATATATCTGATGTGCATGCTAGCTCATCAGCCATGCTATCTGATACAGTGGTGTTTCCACCATTTATTGTTGGTTCAGTCAGGTGAAGTTCTGACTCCAAACATGAGGGCTCTTCTCCATAAACTTCTCTGACAATGTTGATATCCTGTGGGTCTTCTGAATGACAGGTTTCTGTGATATCAGTTGACTTGGAGGACAGGTCATGGGAAAAACCACCACCATCTTCAGGTTTCAGTTGGCAGACCACTGGGGATGCAGCTTGATCTTCATCAAGAGCAACATTCCCTCCTCCAGTATCGCAACTAACCGACGAAATTTCCTCTTTATTCTTTTGTGTATTATTAGAGTCAGCAATACACAATTCGAGTTCACTTCCACTTCGACGAAGCTCCATATGTGTCTCATCGTTGAGGGCCAGAGGAGGCACCAGCACGTGCTGTTCCTCACTGTAAAGACATGCTTGCTGTATACTTTCTCCAGAACTTTCATGAGGGCTCATAATTTCGACAGACTCTACATCAACTAGACCCAGAGAATCAGAGTTAACTTCGCCTCCATCTTGAGCTACAACTCCATTTGGATCTGCTTTTGGTCCAGTGTAGATTTCTACAGGAACTTCCCTTTTGAGTTTCTGAACAGTAGGAGTGACATTCCCTTTTTCTTCAATGGCTTGCTGTCCCTGGTAGACTATTTTGCTCGACTCATTTCCCTTTACTGAGTTGCCTGTGTTGTTTACTCTTCGAGGGGGCTGCCCTGCCAGTTTCTTGCTTCGCTGTGCATTCACACGCTTTCTTGCCGATTTCAAATGCTTCAATGTAGGAGCTTCTCCATGCCGATGATGACCGTGAAGAGAACAGTAGCTATACGGACAAAATTTCTTTGCCAAATTCCTTTCAGACAAATGACCCTCTTGCGGAATCTCCGGCTGGTCAGGAATCTTTTTCCCCCTGATAGCCGAAGAACAGGTAGGTCTAAGAATGCTCAAGTCCGAGGACTGAGAAATTTGCTGCCGTTTCCATACAGAAGGCCTCTTTGGTTTCAAACTGGCCATTTTAGTCAAAATCCCCACAGGTCTGAGGGTTGGAGTTCTTGTAAAGCGTTTAACAGATTTATTACCGGAAGGACTCTGCTTTGGCTTAACACTATTCAAGAATTTTCCACTCTGATCATTGCTGGAGACAGAAAGCTCAGAATCAAGAGGACTTGCTTGAGAATTCACCTTCTTCACATCAGAACATCTCGTTGACTTCAAATAACTTGGCAATGCATCCATGTCACTCGAGGAACTCAAAGGTTGGTCATATACCAAACTTGGGTTTCTTCTGGATGGCCTTGCGGTCTGAAACCCCGCAAGCCTGATGGACCGCAACTTCTTCAATTTCTTCCTCTGAAGATCCGCTACTCCAGAGATCTTCTTCGAAGAAGACCTTCTGATTGAACTGGACATTCTTGTCAATCCCTTAGCCAACCTTAAACTAGATCTCCTAGTTAATGTCCTCGCCGGTTTCTGTTCATAGAAGGCAATACGTATCCGTAAGCTAATTAAGTCACTGCCCTATTCATCTTACCACCCAGATATCATCCCTGTTCCCTCCTCCGTTATTGTACTGGTAATTATTGCTAAAGGAAGAGGATTTGGTGGAATTACCTGCAAATCATACGCCTTCGCATCGGAACATGCTGTTGCCTCGGTGCGATCCGGCGATGCATCCGATGTCTCAATGGAAGTAGACCATTCCGAGGCTGCTCCATCACTGGAACAGTCGAGTACCGGGTTGTAACCAGATTGAGACTCTTCTGATCTTCTTGAGGACTCCATGCTCGGCCAGCTCGAGAGCGAATCCATCTCAATCTGTTTGGACGCTTATTTTACTTTTTCCTCCCCTGGTTTCGCTGCTGTCAACTTTCTGGTTCAGGACGGCCCAAAATCAAATTTCAAGCAGCAGTTCTGCAAGCTGCATCAGAATCGCTCAACCATGGAGGTAAGATGTGTAGTTTCCTTGTTGGCAAGGAAAGAAGTGTTGAGTTTTCTTGCAGGCAAGGAAGAAAATCTTGACTGGGAAAGTTTCTTGGTAAATGAGAGGAACAGGGATTACAAAGTAGGCTGTTGGCTGTAGTGGTTGGTCTTTGCTCGCGAGCTTGACATCGATTTTTCCTGTGACATTACTGCGCAAACCACAGTGGAATACGGGTTGGAGAGATCAGAGATGGGGAAAGTTCAATAGATTCCTCTGACTTTGTACAAAAAAAAGGGCTCTTTGACTCGGCCTTCCTTGCTCAACTGACCTGTATTTTGGATTCTTCAGACGGGAAAAAGCTTCTGGGCTCCTGTTGCTGTCGGGTGGGGGGCGATTATCACTGCCTCTTCTCGTTAACCCGCGTCATGTCACCAATAGCATATCAGGTTGGAGTCACTGTGCAGAAGAAGGTTAGTTTATGCTGAACATGGCTATTTTCTATACAATTTTTCTATGATAAAAAGTGAAAAAGTTTAAATGCAGGTGGTCCCATGAACATGAACGAGGGAGATACCTTCCCAATTCGTAGCCTCATTTGGGCTAAAGAAAATCCCAGATAGAGATGCATAGGCCAGTACTTGTGCAGCCTACAACAACCCACATCAAGTTCAGATGTCAACTTCAGACAGACCCAAATTCATATTTAATGGAGTTTACTTTTGATCTATGATGTTCGGTGTACTTGAATCTCATATGATACCGTCAGCTCCGAGGTCGGATGTAGAAGAACCCCGTGAAGAATATTTTAAGGTCCTCTCGAAGCAGTGAGAGACGAACTAATTGGTAGTGGAAAGCCAGTAAAAGCCTTTTGCAGTTTTCACTGTTGTTGAGCATTTTCTTCTTTTGACTCTAAATCCGTGAAATCTTGAAAGCCGAAGAGGGCCTTAATGATTTCGAGAATTCCTGGTCGTGAACACGTTGGAAGACCAGCGTGAGAGTCAGAATTGGAGAGAGAGGGAGAAGGTACATTGATTTTGCATCGACTTTGTACTGAAGATGATCGAAGCGTGTGGGGTCTCAGTTTAGCGTGAGTGCCGGGAGGATCGAATTGCTCCGTCCAGAATCTGATCGCCAGATCTACACGTATAAATTCGTGCCATGATTTTGTCTGAAGTGGGACCCCACGGAGGAGGTGAAGTTGAGGACCGCTGGTCCTGGACACGACGCAGACACGCAAAATGTCAAACATGTTAACACTAGTTATCGTGTATAAACGTAGTTTCCGTGTGTTAACATATATCTGTAGACCGATTAACTTGTCATGTTCGATCAACACCATGATCGCATTCGTGGTGTCGTGTCATGTAAGACTCGTTATCAGGCATGTCCGTTCGTGTTGAGGTAGCATTTATCATACATGCCATGTTCGTTTTAGACATGCGCGTGATATACATATTCCGATATGACATGATTCACGTGGCACGATAGAAATTATCAACTCTAGTCGGGTGTTTTCTTGTTTCCGCATATTTCTTATTTATTGTCCTAACAAGAATTTTGTGCATGTGGATAAGGCATGTGTGAGCCATTAGCCACGAACCAAGGAAAGAGCCGGCTACGATCTCCTCCCGCCTCTCGCGGTTTTTCCAACCGCAGGGATTTACCGAACGAGGAAAGAAGAAGGAGGGATCGAACTTTTGATGCTCCGGGCAGAACGATGCTGTCGACGGAGGCAGCAGCGACTTCGACATGTGATGCGGTCCTGTTCACTGGCGAGCCGTTCAATTGCTTGTAATGTACATTCTTTAAGCGTTGATTCAAGACTTTGATGTCGAGAAGAGCAGTCCGTGTTTTTTCTTTTGGTCAGAGCAGTCCGTGTTTCAAAGGGGAACATAGGGCCCGTTTGATTCAACTTTGAAAATGCTATTTGGGGGAATGCAAATACCTTTGGTGAAAGCCCGTTGGGGAAATGCAAATGGTGTTTGGTAAAAATATTTTATAAAGCTACTTTGGCCAAAATATAGTGTTTGGTGAATTATTTTTGCAAATGGACTTTGGGAATAAAAACCTAACTTACCCTTCGCGAGCCGGCACGTGGCCAACACGCCGGCCGCTCACGCGAGCTGCCGAGTGATTTGGCGCCGGAAGCGGCTGTCGCTCGAGGCTCCTGCGACCACCGGCGGGCCAAACGGGGCCGGGCGGCTGTCGCCCGAGGCTTCGGTGACCCTCGCCGAGGGCTGCGGGACCTAAGCGGCCGCCGAGTCGCGCGACCCAGCGGCCGCTGAGGTCGCGCGACCCGTGCGGCTCGCGCCCGGGTCGCGCGACCTGTCAGCGGCTGCCGCTCGGGTCGCGCGACTCAGCGGCTCCCCGCGCCCGGGTCGCGCGACCTCGGGCGGCCGCCCCGGGTCGCGCGACCCAGCGGCGGCCGCTGGGTTCCGCGACCCTCGTCGAGGGTCGCTCGGCCTCGAGCAACGGCCGCCGGCCTCTTGCCGGCCCGATCCAGCGCCGGTCGCCTCGCCGGCCTCCCTTGCCGGCCACCTCTTGAAGAAGAAGATGAACAGTACAGACGAGGGGCAAAATCGGAATAAACCAAAATAACTAAGGGTAGTTTGGGGATAAAAAATTTGGGTTCAGCATTTGCCAAATGCTGAAAGCCCAAAGCTGGTCCGGACCAGCTTTGGGCTTTTAGCATTCCAAATGCAAGCATTTGGCAAATGTTGATCCAAATGCTGAACCAAACGGGCGCATAATAGAGTTTTAAAATGCGTTGAAGTGGTCCTGCGCTAGAGAAGGAAGGGTGAGCGAGTGATCGCAGATCATAGCATATAGTGTAGATTATAGCCCGTATTATAGAGATTATAGAGTTTTAATTTCTGGATGGTATGAAAATTTTCAATATTGTCCCCGAACTTGAATTAATAGAAAGTCAATATTGAACATTTTCAAACAGTCTAGGGACTAAATTGAATATGTACAAAAAATTTTAAGATCACATTGAATAAATTAAAAGTTCATGGACGATATTGCACATTGGGTTAAAGTTCATGAACTACATTGAACAAATTTAAAGTTCAAGAATCACATTGCACATTGGGTTAAAGTTCAAGGACTATTTGGTATTGGAGATGCTAAACCTTGGCGCACACCGCCGAAAGGCAAAACCGTAACTACAAATGGAGATCCTGCGCGTGTGCTCATCATTGATAAATGTATGATTTGGTGATCGGCCGCCAATCCTTTCACTTTGATGCAGTCGCAGATCTATTCTTGAAGGACGAGTGTGTGATTATCTTTGTCAATCATGCTCTAACAATATATCTTGATTTCTGGTTTTTGGTTTGTTTTGGAGCTCTACGAACTTGCCTTGTTATGGTGACTTTTCAAATTTTTCATGAATCGTTTCAAGTATCATTTTGGTAACGAATGGAAATCTCTTTTGATAAAAAAAAAATTCAAAAGAAGATCCATTCGAATTTCGATGCTTTGGCTAGCAAAAGTGCTCGGTTTTTTTTTATTCCGAATCGCTTGATATGTGTTTGATGCATGTGTTAGCTCCACATTAAGAACGTTTTCAAAGAGACCAACTAAGAAATTCGAGGGTTTCATCTAGTTCCCGCCCTGCCCCGCCATGATCCGTCTCGTTGCGCTTCCTTCTGCCCCGTCCTCCGTTCTTTTGTGCGGGAGAATTTGCCCCATCCAGTTGACATGGCTGCCACATCAGCATTACCATTCGTACATTTTGAATAGAAAGACCCAATCGAACAAAAGTTGTTAAAGTGGAGACTCAATTAGATAAAAAAAAAAGGGTTTATAAATTATATTAAACAAATTAAAAAAGTTTAGAGATTACGATGCGTTTTATGCTGTAAGAAAATTCTAAAAGTGAGGAACAAAGAAATTAAAGGCCTTATTTAGTTCGATGAGGGATTGGATTCCTCCAAGAATGAGATTTCCAATTCCTACATTTTCCATATTTGGAGAGAAATCGAACTATAGATTTGGATTCATCGTAAAATTGTGAAATTGATTCCTTAGCAATACTAAATGGGAAAAAATCACCAAAAATCATAAAATATACTTATTATGACACATTTAACCCTAGGCGAGGGCCGTTGAGCTCGTGAGACCTAAAGCTTCACAAATCTAGATGTTCAATGGTCAAGCTTCCCAAATCTGGCCTTTCCACCCAGGCGAGGGACGCCGATGTCGCGCAATCTTAGATGAGCTAGATTTACTTGGGAATTTGCCTTTCGAAAATATTAAAAACCCAAGGTTGTCTTGGGCTTTCAACTTTGCCGATTCTAGCATTTCTCCAAAGTGACCTAAAAAAATTTTTGCTGAACGTCTTAACTTTTTTACAAGAGACTTTAAAAGACCGAAAGCTTAACCAAATGTACCTCTTATCTTGAATAATTATTTGTAACTACCGACTTAATCTCAAATAAGGGCCCAAGAGCTTATAGGTTAATTTGCACATGCGACATCCGTGCTTATTCCAATTAGCAACAATAGGGGCAAATTTGTAAAAAATATTGATTTTATCTAATTTAAAGAACCCCCAAATTGAAGCTGAGTAAAATATGCTGGGCAAGAATCCAAGAGGGACAAGCCCTACACTCCAATCACCAAGCCTCTCTCTCTCTCTCTCTCTCCCATTTCTTCAGGTTTCAATGTCGCTCCGAGCAACACCATGACGATCACAAAATCCGTCAAACGCCAATACTTCATCGATTGGAGATTTCACAACTCCGATTTGGTGTCGCTAAACTTTTGGATAAATCTCAAGGTGTCGCAACTGTCTCTCTTTCACGGTTCTTTTTTTTTTTGATGACCCGGGGAACCCCCACGGCCGACGGCGGGAGGTAAACCCTGGGGCGACACGTGCTTAGCCACCACCACGTGCACCGGTTAAGTCACCACTCGCGCACTCTTCTTTTGCGAGAAGAAGAGTGCGCGCTGCATGCCGCCACCCAGGCAGTGGTGTCTCTCTTTCACAGTTCATCACTAAGTACACTAAAATTTGTCAATACCGATTTGTTGAGTTGAAGAACAAATCTAACCTCGGTCGGACCAAGGAATAAAAGATGATAGACACGATTGAAACATAGAAACTTCGTCAATGATATCAGGATGAAAAGTGCCCTCAAAGAACCTTAGCTCCAATTCGGGTCAAATCAGTACATTTCGGACGAAAATTGCCTCGATGCTGCCACGGGAACAGGCACGTGAATTGCACGTTCAAGCCGGCTAGCCAGCAAGCTTGAGCCCTTATTTTAGATCAAGTAGATACATTTCAAAACTTTTTTCTGAGACAATATCCACTTTTGACTCTCTTTTCAAACTTCGAACACTTTCCCCGTTTGCTTTCAAACACAAGCTTTTTTTCTTCCAAATTAAAAAAGAAGGGGCTGGAATAGTTGGCAATCCTTTTGGGTCGATTTGCTAGACCCATTGGGCTCGAATCTCTCCAATATGTGGATGCGTTCCCAAGGGATTTTCGGGCTCAAAAGCCTTGAAAGCCCCTTGGGAGAAATACTGAGGCGTTTAGCGAGCATTGTCAATGAGCTTTTGATCGAAAGCCAGTATTAGAAATGCTAAAAGTCCAAGGCTGGTCTGGATCAACTTTCAGCTTTCCGCATTTGCCTAATGCTAAAATCAATATTTTTTCTTCCCAAACTATCATCACTAATTCTTCAATATTCTAATTTTGCCCCTCATGACTATTCATCTTTTTCAGGTTGAGGGCGGCCGGCGAAGCCGTTGGCGAGGTCGCCCGATCCTGGCGAAGGTTGCTTGGGGTCGCACAACCCTCACCGGGGGTTGCCCGACCTCGGGCGACGGCCGCCGGCACCAGATCTGGCTAGCCGACGGCCATAGTCCATTGCCAGCTTTGATGAAGGGTAAGCTTTTTTTTAAATAAAAAAATCTCAAAATCCTTTGTAAAATGAGTTTGCCAAACACTACTTGAGCCAAACTAGCTTCACAATAAATTTTTTATCGACCGCAATTTAATTTCTCAAGAGATTTTAAGTTAAAAGGTATTTGCATTATTTCAAAATCCTTGGGAATGCTGAACTAAAGGCATTCTTCTATGGATAATCTTCTCCACCTCCTCCTCCCACGACGTCGACACCAATCTCCTTGTCTTCCTTCCAAGCAACAAATGGCACTTTAGCGGGAACGTGCACGCACAAGCAAAGCAAGAAACACGAGTTCCAAAGCCCCTCCCCCTTTTCAATTCAATGCCCCACGACTTCCATGATGCCGACTCCCGATATCTCTGCAATATAATAATGACGCTCGACCCATCTTCCGTCTTCTTCCTCTTCCTCTTCCTCTTCCCTTCCCGTCCATTCGATGTTCCGCCTCCCCTGCAATAATTTCCAAGAAAGCTCCAAGATAGTGGAGAGCTCCTCTGTCCCGGAGCGACACTCGTCAGCTCCCCCCTCTCTCTTATCCATCTTCTTTGATGCCATCCGTCGCCATCGCTGCTGACTCGGCTCCGCGTCGAGCGAATCCCTATCTCTTCCCGGATTCGCCATCGTTCTTGGGTTGGTTTTAAATTCTTTGGCTTCTGGGTCTCGCTTCTCTCGCCTCTTCGACCTCGACCCACGTCTTGGAATTTGGTTTTGCTCCTTCTTGAGTCTCCGTTGGAGGGTTTGAGTTGGTCTGGGGAATTTGGGAGCTTGTTGAGTTGTCGCTGAGGATTGCGGGGAGAATCCTGGCTAAGTGTTGAAATAGTTTCTGCGATCGTTTGCCTGAGAAAACCCTGCCCTTTTTAGATTCGAAGAATTTTTTGGCACCTTGGTTCTGCTAATTAGGAGCTTTCTTGGCTGTTGGTGTTCACGATTGCAGGTCAGCGGCTATGATATGAGCGTCTTGCTTGTAGCTTCAATGATATAGCTGATGTCTGGGTCAATGTTGCAGAATCTTGCTGGATAGTTAGAAGCTCGATCTGTCTCTGAAATCCCAGTCTGCTAATTTGCTCGAAATAGTGATTTTTTCGGGTCCTTTGTGAAATTGATTTATTCGCTTCCCTACGCATTTTAACTAGATTTTATCTGGTTATCGATTCTTTCACTCTGAATTATCAAAGAAACCTTTGATTTGTTAATTTCCATTTGGTATTCCATTATCCCCTCATGCCCCTCTTTGCGCCTCGTGCTCATTGAGGTTTTTACCCTACCTTTTCTGCTGTGGATAGTGGAAGTCTGCAAGTTATTCTTTCGTTCCTTAAGAACCTATTCGATAATTTAACATACCAAAGCATCTAGAGATCAAGGGTGGTTGTTGATCAAGACATGGATATAAGCAATGAGGCAAACATTAATCCGTTCCCCATTGGACCTTCGTCCATTCTTGGTCGCACCATTGCTTTCAAAATCCTGTGTTCTCGGTCAATGTCACATCTGTCGCAGCAGCTCTTTCATGTGGTGTTGAATTATGCCTTTAGAATTGGGGACTTTGTTGCCACAATATTATCATGGTTCCATCCTAGGAATCCACAAGGGATATTGGCAATGGTCACTGTTATAGCATTCTTGTTAAGACGGTACACCAACGTGAAAGTGAGGGCTGAAATGGCTTATCGGAGGAAATTTTGGCGGAACATGATGAGAGCTGCATTGACTTATGAGGAATGGGCTCATACTGCTAAGATGCTTGATAGAGAGACACTGAAGATGAATGAATCGGATCTTTATGATGAGGAACTGGTAAGAAACAAGCTCCAAGAGCTCTGCCACCGTCGCGAAGAGGGGTCTCTTAGGGATATCATCTTTTGCATGCGAGCTGATCTAGTCAGGAATCTCGGGAATATGTGTAACCCTGAGCTTCATAAGGGTAGACTTCAGGTGCCCAGGCTCATTAAGGAGTACATTGATGAGGTCTCAACTCAGTTAAGAATGGTCTGCAACTCTGATTCTGATGAGCTCTCTTTGGAGGAGAAGCTCTCTTTCATGCATGAGACTAGGCATGCTTTTGGCAGGACTGCTTTGCTTTTGAGTGGGGGAGCTTCTCTGGGAGCCTTTCATGTTGGTGTGGTTAAAACACTGGTTGAACATAAGTTTTTGCCTAGGATAATTGCTGGTTCCAGCGTGGGATCTATAATGTGTTCTATTGTTGCCACCAGGTCTTGGCCCGAGCTTCAAAGCTTCTTTGAAGATTCTTGGCACTCATTGCAGTTTTTTGATCAGCTGGGAGGAATTTTTGCAGTTGTCAGGAGGGTCATGAGGCAAGGAGCTGTGCATGAGATCAGACAATTGCAGTGGATGTTGAGGCATCTTACCAGTAATCTTACATTTCAAGAAGCTTATGACATGACAGGACGAATTCTTGGGATAACAGTGTGCTCTCCGCGAAAGCATGAGCCACCCAGGTGCCTTAACTACTTAACCTCCCCCCATGTTGTCATTTGGAGTGCGGTGACCGCTTCTTGTGCCTTTCCTGGCCTTTTTGAAGCCCAGGAACTAATGGCGAAGAATAGAAGTGGAGAGATTGTTCCCTATCATCCTCCATTCAATTTGGGCCCTGAGGAGAACTCTGGGGCACCTGGCCGTCGATGGAGAGATGGTAGCTTGGAAATTGATCTACCTATGATGCAGCTAAAGGAACTATTCAATGTGAATCACTTCATAGTGAGTCAAGCAAATCCTCATATTGCACCACTATTAAGAATGAAGGACTTTGTGAGAGCTTATGGTGGGGGTTTTGCTGCCAAGGTATCATCTCTGAGTTCTACTTACGGTTTGCCTTAATGCCGTTTTTATTTCATATCTGTATCTCTTTCTCCTATATGGTTTGCCCCTAAAGAGGCCATACCTGGTATCTAGTGGTTGTTGATCCAGTTTTCTCTGAGCAAACGCATTACATTGTTCAAGGTGACAAGTTTAGTAGGTCCGGTTATAATATTTCATGTCCTGCTTGGGTCCTGAATTTACAATATATTGTACCTCTTTTATTACTTTATGTGCACGCCCATGCGCGTGTGCGTGCACTTCCTGAATTTACCATATATTGTACCTCTTTTATTACTTTATGTGCACTCCCATGCGCATGTGCATGCGCTTGAGAGAGAGAGAGAGAGAGAGGGAGAGAGTTCTACACTTAGGAGTGTTAATCGAAAGCAAAGTTCCCGGTTTCTAAGAATATGAGATAGGCCTGGTAATGTTTAAGAGGAAGATGTTTTTGCACCTCTTGTACTTTGGACAAAGTTACTTCAATGTCCTAAATTTCTCTAGGTAAAGAAAGGCCTGTTTACTATTTAAAAATTAAGTATGCTCCCTCTACCCATCAGTTGTTCAGTTGACCCCGTCTTTGGGTAAAACATAAGATAATATCGTGTGCTTCACAGAGGAGTGACCTATAGAAATGAAACAATGTTCATCTACTAGCTGATCAGAAAATCGGTTACAAACCATTTCTAAATGGTACAATAAGGGTTCCCTCACAAAAGAAAGAAACAAATAAAGGAAAGTTTTCAAGGGTTCTGATTATGAATGATCTAAACTACAGTGTTCTTCTCATTTGTTTGCCAACCTTGGAACAATTCTTTTCGGGTGTTTTCATTGTTACTCTTTCCAAGACTTGCTTTAGTCTTTTGTTGGTTCATGAGAAGGAAGGGATGGAAACTCAGGTTTGTGATTTTGATAGTGGATAGCTGGATGTCTTGTGCTATCTGATGTGGTCTTCTTCTCTGTATATGAAGAAACAAGAATGATCTGTTTATTTATTTATTTCTTGTGGAACTTTGTAGCTTGCTCAATTAATTGAGCTGGAGGTGAAACATAGATGCAACCAAGTGCTGGAGCTTGGTTTTCCTCTTGGGGGTCTCGCTCAGCTCTTTGCGCAAGAATGGGAGGGCGATGTCACTGTTGTTATGCCTGCCACACTTGCTCAGGTATGTGCAATAGGAAGGCCCTAAGCTTCTGGATTGATTGGCCCATTTGCACTTTTGCTTGCCCATAAATTGCCAACCTCTTATTTATTTATTGTTTGTTATCTATGTTGCAACTGATTTAAGCATTTGTCGGTCGGTGTTTGTATTACAGTACTCAAAGATCATCCAAAACCCGTCCCATATGGAGCTTCAGAAAGCTGCCAATCAGGGGAGAAGGTGCACTTGGGAGAAGCTCTCCGCCATTAAAGCAAACTGTGGCATTGAGCTTGCACTTGATGAATGTGTTACGATCCTCAACCATATGCGCAGACTCAAGAGGAGTGCAAAGAGAGCTGCAGCCGCTTCTCTTGGCCTTGCCGCCACTGCCAAATTCAGCGGATCAAAAAGGATCCCTTCATGGAACTGCCTTGCTAGAGAGAACTCAACTGGGTCCCTCGACGAAGATCTCCTGACAGACGCTGCTTCCTCATTACATCAAGGAGTTGGAGGATCCTTAGGTAAGAATTCTCGGCCCCATCGCGGTGGGCATGATGGAAGTGACAGTGAATCTGAGAGTCTAGATCATTCCTGGACAAGATCCGGTGGGCCCTTGATGAGGAGTAGCTCTGCTAACAAGTTCATTGACTACGTCCAAAGCTTGGACTTACAAGTAGACCTGGGCAAGATCGCCAATTTAAGCTCAAATGTTGTCCAAATGGGAGGAGAAACACACTCTCAGAGCTCGAGGGTGACCACACCTGATAGAACTTCAGAGAACGCCGAGTTCGATCTGCGGGACTTGAGCAATAGAAGCAGCTCAAGCATCACCGTGACCGAAGGAGATCTCTTGCATGCTGAGAAGGTTCAGGAGGGGATCATGTTTAATGTCGTCAAGAGAGAGAACGTTAGTTTTTCGAACAGGAGTCACGATACTGAGAGTTGCAACTATGAAGCCGCTGAATGTTTGCAACTCGATTGTCCAGAAAAGGAGATGGATGGTGGCTCGGATTCGGAATGCGGGTTTGGTGGAGATCACGTGGAAACAGCTTAAGCCGAACGAAGGAGATGAGAGACTCGTATTGCTCTGGTTCAAATTGGTTCTGGCATAGATAGCGGAAAGGACCGGAGTGTCTCCTGACGGTCGGTTTATACTTTGCATCGCCTTTGTTATCCAGCATTCACAATAGTAAGTGGTTCCAATGCTTCTCTTACCTTTGACAGAAGAACAGGGAGCTTGACAACACCAGAGCACTGCATAGGATTGTAATTAGCTGTGGCTGAGTTTCTAGATCAGGATGCCGCACGGTTCTCTGGAAAAGCCCCGGCTTGTAAATACGTTAACATATGCAATATGTAGTCTTACTTTCTCTGTGCAGCCAAGGAGAACTCTCCTTCTCTCTTTCTTGCTTTCACTGTGCAGCCAAGGAGATCTCTCTCCTTCTCTCTCCCTCGCCCGTGGGCGCGCATGCATTCAGTTTTACGATAGCATTAGAAGTTGCGGTTTATCGAGCGACCGTCTGTTTTTTTCATTTTCTTCATCCTCGAGCGACAGTTTAACTTTTCCAGCATCATGTCTTCACTTCCCCTTTCCCTTCTGTACTTCCATCTTTCTGGAGACCAGTTTGCGTCCTCTTCATTCTTAAATCCGACATTACATCAATCTATTTATTACCAAGTAATTCCCGCGGGCGAAATTAAGGGGGAATTGCTTCGCCCTTTCGGCTATTCGTTCTGCATCCATCACATGTAGATCGTGCAGCAGGTCAACATGAAGATTCCCGACCATTTAGGGCATTATCAGCGAGTTCGACACGCGGTCGGTCGATGAAATCGACACACGAGAGACCTCGACACGCGACAGACAATTCAATTTCAATACATCACGTTACCGACCATCTATGTGAATGCCGCATGTCGACAAAAAACAACAATAACATATCGACCATCTTAACCGATCACCGATACTTCTCTAGAACTCGTTCCTAATTGATTTCCCGAGAAACCGATCACCTATGGATCAAGCGAAAAATCTAGATCGGAATGGAAACAGCCATTTGTTTAACCTTTGAATGAACAATTGGCGTGCTTTGTGAGCCAGCCAAGGTGGGAACTTTAGAAGCAGCATTACCCTTATTGGCATGAAACTGAACTTTCACGTGTCAATTTGATCCGGACCAGAAGACAAACCGATGGTCTTTCCATCTTTTTCCCACGTCAAAACACATGTTCTTGGTCCAATCTTTAGCGCTTCTAGTGTGGCCCTCGGCCAAACTTTTCAAAGCAAAACGAGCAACTTCTTCCAACTTCAATTTCTCTAGGGGCTGCCCAATTGTTCAACGAAGTACCCTTGATTGAGGGGACCTACTAAAGATATAAAATTATGCACCAAGTCTCAACCTCCATTAAAAAAAAAAACAAAAAACAAGCTAGAAAATCGATATTAGTTTGTCGTCATGTAATAATAACTCCGTTTATTTTTATCTCTATCTTTCTGTCTTGACATATGTTGAGGCACAATTCCGTCGGCACCTTAAACCGAGCATTCCAACAGCGGGTGAGGTAGGTTCCGTAAACCATCCGGACCCTTATACTTGTGAGCAAAAAAGAAAACTTAGCCACTTGCCAAAGTAGAGCGAAATACTTTGTCTACGTCTGCGCCGGTTGTGCCACGCAGGACGGCCCAGCATCCACATCAACGATTTTCGGCTAAAATTAGCGGGAAGTACTACGTTAGCGAATCGTCGAAAGGTTTATGACTGAATTAGCAAAATTTGAAAAGTCTAGAACCGAATCGATCGCTGTATAATGAATTTAGAACCTTTTTTTTTTGGTAATTATTCCCTATATAAGATTATGGATACTATGGATTCAAAAGAGACTAAAATTAGCTGGAAGGGGCTATGAATTCAATTAATTAGGCCATGAAGGTCGACCTACTTGCAGACCAAAACCGGCAATGGACGAGCAGAAAAGGAGTGGATGCGAATTGGTCAGACCTCATTTCCCTTTCATTGCAATGAATGGTGTCCATATACAAATGGCACATCATGACACTACATAAAGGTGAAACTCTTTTCAATTTGAATGGGTCGGGGGTCCTGTTTCTTTTCCCACACGTGCCGTTCTAAACTTCTAATTAGTACTGACCCCGATTTCCGAAAAAAAAGCCTAGTATGTAATGTCTATATCGCACGACATACTTGTTTGATATTGGAAAAAACCCCGGTGTGCGTTTTCGTAGGCCTAAATCCCTAAAAAATCAATTTAACTCAGTCGGGCGATTCCTCAAACGTTTTTGTCAGAAGATCGACTTTAGGCCCATCTGGGCAAAACTTTTCTGTCTTTTAAAAGAAAAACTAATTTTAAGTTAGTCTGATTCCAAACTTTATGTTGTCTTGTAAAAAAGCACAAAATTTAAGTTGGCATCCAAATTTGGCTCCCATCAAGTGTCTGTCTAACCACGTCGTTAAAGATTTGACGTGTTGTTTAATGTGTACTAGGCCAAAACTTGACATAACCATATTTGGGAACAAACCGAAAGTTGATGCATTTTTATGGACAAAAAAAATTTGGCCCACAGTTGGGACATGAGCTAAAGTTGTTACCTTTTAATGAGATAAATAAAAGTTCATGCCAAAATTGTGACTTAATCTAAAGTTGATATTTTTTTTCGAGACAAAACAAAGTTAGGGAGAAAATTGAGATTTAAGCTACAGTTGGCGCTTCTTAAGGGAATTGGATAGTTTTTGATATCATTCTATGGTACTGAACGGGAATACTCAGTTGATTCAGTGCTAATGCATAGGCATGTCACGTGATACAGAGATACAAGCAAAATACCTTTCCCTCTTTGGGAATAATCATTACTTAAGAAGAAAGCTGATGAATTTGTAAAGCCACTTTGGAACCACTTTCTATTTAAAGGGTCGTAATCGCGCAATTAGCAGGTGTTTAATCTACATCCCACTTTAAAGAGAGTATCTTGACTCGATCAAAAGCGAGTTAGGTTGAGTCGACAAGCCGAGCAACACGGGAGATACCAAGTACCGGTTCATTATGCTCCTTTTTTATTACATATGAAAGTATACGCCAGGCTTTCAAGCAATCAATGTTTACTTAGATTAGATGCACGATACATATTCGATTATTAGCAGCGTCCGTGAAAGGGAGAGAGAGTAGGCAAGCTAACGTGTTGTGTGAGATTTTGCAGAGTCACTGCCAACTGTTTTAAAAGCTTAAGCCATTAGATAAATGCGTGATTTAATATTTAATCACTTTAACACTCTCCCTCACGCTTAGTCTGGTCTTTTTGCCTAGTACTAAGCGTGGACATATTTAATTGGGGAGGCAATTGGGGTTTGGAAAGATTTAAACTCGGGACCTCTAACTCTGATACCATGTTAAATATGTTAAAATGCAGAAGAAAGAAAATGGGAAAGTCGTATATATTTCAATGTGTACTTGGGTGCACCGGGTGCACTTAGGTTTTCACATGAACGAAGATTCTGAGATCATGTGAGATTTTATAGAACTATTGCATTTTGTTCTAATGGTTTAAGTTTTTAGATAAAGGTGTAATTTAATATTTAATTATTTTAACACGTTATTTCCTGCTAAAATTCCTGAAGCGTGGGACCTGCAGTTGCGGTTTTCTTGTTTTGGCCAGAGGGGAGTTGGCACTTTTTCAAAGGTGTGCTTGGGGGAAGAAAGTCATCTTCTCTCTGAGTGTTTCTAAGGAATTTTAGAGAGCAAAAGGATTGAGTAAAGATAAAGAAAAATAGAGGTCCGTCGATTATATAGTTTTTAAGATTTTGTAGGATAGGACACTTTGTATAGGAGTCACGAAAAAATGCTAGGAATTACGATCCATCGCGATCCAAGAATACGTCTCCGATGGACCATAGAATCGCCCCGTGTCGCACGAGTTCCGTTAGACTTGAGCTACAAGTCAATTGATCCTAACAAGGAGAATCCCAAATAGGTTGTAGCGTGATGCTAAGTCAACTCAGCCCCAAGAATGGGGCTGGACCAGCTTTGATCTTGTCTTTCTGGAGCAATTCTATTGCCTATCACTTGAGTGTTGAACGGGTCTAGGGGCAAATTTGAATGATTCGTTGGATCCGCGTAACAAGGCAATCCGGCAGGCACCGAGGGGAAAGAGACGGGGAGAGAGACTAAATTTGGGTCTAGCTATCAAATTTCTTTCTCCCATTCTCTTCCACCTGGACCTGAGCATATTCTTAAAAGGACTTATCTCGATCCTCGTCGGATGTTGGGATTACCGGGATATAAAACTTCAAGAGAGTATTTTCTCTTTTTGGATAAGACAAAGATATAAGAGGGAATTGAAGGTGCGAGGTGTGCGGGTACCAACACATTAAAATAAGTAACGCATCCATGGAGCCCGCCATTCCCGTAAATCAAACAAAAAGGCCGTGGAGGTCCTCCTAGGAATGAAAACTCCATTCCTTTGGCGAGGTTATATCTTGATTGAACACAAAGGAAACTTAAGTATTAGATGATGAGAGAGAGAGAGAGAGAGTAAATTTGGGTCTCGCTATCAAATTTATTCCTCTCATTCTCTTCTGCCTATCGACTTAAGTATCATAGTACCTATTTGGGTCACAAATCCGAAGCCTTAACCCGATATATATTTGTGCAGGTCGAATCTCGATTGAAGATCCGGTCGACTCAAGAGCATAAGATGGCGCACCGTCATCGATCGATTAAATGTGTAGGGCATGTTCGATCTCACATGGGCACTACCAACCTCATAACGTGCATCCTTAACCAAAAGTGGGGAAAAATGACGACGTGACCCGTCCGCCATGTTCCAATTTGTGATCGCCGGTCAACGTCGGGAATCTCCCCGGCAACACTATGTTCCACTAGTTGCTATACACTATTCTTATTCCAAAATGTGGGACAAAAGATGAAACATCGGTCGTGATAGTTCTACTCTTGGGGTCAGATTTTTCAATTCATAATGCACAGAACCCTCCATGTGATGTGCTGATCCCTCTCCTTGTCTTGCTACAAGTAGGTCCAATCTCATGCTCCCCGGAACATATGGAACTCACAAATAATTATTAAATGGACAAAAATAATTAAACTTTATATAATCAAACTCCGATTGGATTATTACAATTTATATATATTAAGCGCCTTGAGGAACTCACTTCAATTATATCTTTGACCAGTCAAAACTGTAAAGTTAAAACGCACATCGATCGAGGCTCAATTTTTTTCTTGTTTTAATAAATGTATGAGTTAATCATTAATCTGATCAATTTGTGAGTAATTAAAGTTAATTTTGCTGTGCCAGGCGCGAGCTTCGATGCTCTGCTGAGAAGCCATCCACCCAATCATTCTTTTCCAATTTTGAGAATATATTTATATCCACAAAATATTAAAATGGTTTTAAAAAAAATATAAATAATCCAACAAATATTCGTCTTCCCAATGATTGCCACCATCCCCCCCATGTGCCCATCAGATATGCCAAATATGCTCCATGATATGAAAAAACAAAAGAAATTAGATTTCGAATATGAAATTAATATCGGATTCTAATTAGTAATAATCGAAAAGATTAATTAGGCTTGATGGCAGAATCGTAACTTTTGATTCAAAAATTTTAGAACTCGATTGCACTTTTTTGATAAATTTTAGCACTTGATTGCACTTTTTGAAAATTTTAAGACTTTATTGCACTTTCGATAATTTTTAGGACTTTCAATGCACTTATCCCGAATATAATAGATTATGCGTGGGGAAGGAGTGGTGGCATGTGTTTAGGTTTTATTGATGAAGGGCGTGAATCAAATCATTTTCTGAATCTTTTGATCTTCTTATTGATTGGGTGACCACGTTGAGTAATTAATCGTTGTTAATTAATTAATCGGTGATCACAATTAGTTTTTTTTTGTTATTTTGATTTAATGATGTCGGTATTTCGAATTTACACACTAGGTTGAATTAACTTTTCGATCCATTAAAGGCAAGCCATTAGCATCTATAATGCGAAAAATCGTTTGGTGCTATTTATCCGACTTTATCCTATTTTGAATCGAGAAAATCCTAACCGTTTTTATCATACCTTTCTCATTGGATATTTTTATCCGGGCTATATCCCATTATATATGACTTTATCCTATTTTGGGTAGGAACCAAACATATGATATGATAAATTTTACTATATCCCGATTTTTATCTTACCTACCAAACGTAGCCATAGTGTTTTCAAATCCCGAAGGAAGATCAAGTTCGATTCTTAAATGGCGTGCAGTTGAATTTGAATAATAGGCATCGTATCGGAGAGAGCTCGATCCAATAAGAAACTAATGCCCGCCTATCATCGGGCACCGAGGGTTATGAATTCTCTTGCTGCTTTTTTACCATAATTTGATCGCTCCGGTCGCTTGCTAATGCGGGCGCTCCTAGAGGAGCATCGCGGCATTCTCTCTCGGGTTTGGGCCATTCGCAAGGACACTGCTTCCTTCCGGCACGACCAAAAAAGGCGGTCCATCGACCCCGAATCGGAACCCTTGCGCTCCCTCCAAGAGACGTCAAGTTAAAATTCGCGAGTTCCGATCAACTTGTCGATACTCTACATCGACTTCGGTATTCCTCTCGATATACCACCATCCGTATTTTCCGGTCCGGAACACCCAAGTCTTTTCGGACCAAAATTAGGTCAAATTAGAAAGCGACCGGGATGGGGGGGTTTCCAATGGAACGGAAGCTGCGCGGAAAGATCCCGTCCTTTTTATATGTTGACCTTCTCGTTGCTTTTTGGTAAGGCGTCGTGAATTCCTGGGCGCCAGCAAGATGCGAATAATTGCGAAAAGGTCCTCGGCAGGTGAATTTCCTCCCAATTTACCCCCCCGCCCCACCCCGTCAACGACCGAGACGGCCCCATTAACGACCGCCTCCCGCTTTTCCTCTCTCCCCCCCCCACGTCGTGAAAGCCGCACGGCATACGAACGATAATATTATATTTAAAGGCTGGTACCGCGGAAAAACACCCTAAACTCGTATAATAAATTTATTTCTAATTAATTTTTTAACCACAAAAAGCTCCAGATTAGTATACTTACGACAAATTTATCCTCAATTAAACTGTTTTACAAATTGATGAACATGTGACAAATATAGGAGTAAAACTCCAAATTGGTACATCCGCCAACTCTCGCGTGTTATCCAACTCGGTAATTTAACGGTAAAATTTAACGGAAACTAACAGAGGTTAAATTTGTCAAATGTGTATCAGGGTTGAGGTAATGATCAAAAAATTAATTTGGGATAAATTTGTTACGGACGTACTAATTCTGAGGTTTTTTTTTAGATATTGACGCTACTTTTAAATTCACCAAAGAGAAATATTGCGAATTTTTTTATTATATTTATTTAAAATATTTCCAGTGGACAAAAAGTACGCCGGTGGTTCACTGGTTATTCTAATGGGAAGCTTCGCGGAAGCTGCAATGGAAACCTCCATTTAACCCCACCTCGCTTCCTCCTTTCCCTGAAGCCCCATACCCACCGCTTTCTCTCTCCTCCCCCTTCTTACTTTCTCTCTCTACGCATTCCCTCTCCGGCCGCCGCCGCCGCCGCCGCCGCCCCCATGAAGCTCATCAAGATCAACCGGCTCAGCCCGAAGCGCCTCTTCGGGTCCAAGAAGGACCGGTCGGACCCGTCGTCGTTGTTCGGGTACGGCGCCACGACATCGTCGTCGTCGTCGTCCTCCTGCTCCTCCTCGGCCGCGTCGTCCGTGCACAAGCGCGGCGGCGAGGAGTCCCGGACGCCCACCAGCGTGCTACCCCCGCAGCTCTCCGGCGACTGGTCCGACGCGGCGTCGTCGTCGGACATGAACTGCGAGCTCGTCCGGGCGTTCACCTACATCGACGGCGACAAGGACGGGGTCCTCTCGCGGGCCGACCTGGAGGCCCTGCTGAGCCGGCTCGGGGCCGAGCCGCTGAGCGCGGACGAGAAGGCGCTGATGCTGAGGGAGGTCGGGTGCGCCGACGACGGCGCCGGGGCCGGCGCCGCCGGGGTGAGCATAGACGACGTGATGAGCCGGGTCGGCTCGTCGGGCGGGGACCCGGACTGCGACGCCGAGATGCGGCGGACGTTCGAGTTCTTCGACAGGAACGGCGACGGGAGGATCACGGCGGAGGAGCTGCTGGGGGCGTTCGTGGCGATGGGGGACGGGCGGTGCACGCTGGAGGAGTGCCGGCGCATGATAGCGGAGGTGGACAGGAACGGGGACGGGTTCGTGTGCTTCGAGGACTTCTGCCGTATGATGGAGCTGCAGATCTGACCGTCGTTGTCACGATGAAGGAAAAAAAGAACGTTGTGATTATGTGATTGGATCCACAGTGCTTCGGATGCTTAAAATTCAGCGTTTTATTATTCATTTTTTTCGAAGATTTTTTTTTTCCGCTTTTTTCTGTTTGGTTTTTTTTTTTTAATCTTTATTGGAACCAATCGGACGGCTGAGATCAATTGATCTTCAAATATGAAGATGCATTTCGGTTTCTGTGATTAACCGTAAAATTACCAAAAAAAGTCATAACTATATTACATTGGTACTAGTTCATTTCTAAAATTTTCAATTGGATCAATTTAGTTCTAAATTTTTTGCATTTGTGCAAATTCAGTTCATTCGTGATTAATTTTGACTGGAAATCATTGATATAGATGTCGGCCATTTTAAATGGCACGACTCTTGCCTAGGCCATCGCTGGCTGCAGGTGAGAGCTGCCCTCGCCTAGGCTACAAGGGTTGAGCCTTTGTTAAAGGCTCCGAGGGTCGAGCTATCACCAAATCTGGTGAGGGTAATCCTCACCTAGGCGAGAGTGGCACGACTCTTGCCTAGGCCATCGCTGGCCACAGGTGAGAGCTGCCCTCGCCTAGGCTACAAGGGTTGAGCCCTCGTCAGAGGTTCCGAGGGTCGAGCTATCACCAAATCTGGTGAGGGTAATCCTCACCTAGGCGAGGGTGGCCCTTGCCTATGGCCTGCGATGGCCGTGACCTCGCCAGCCACAATGAAAAAATAAAATAAAAGAAAAAGTAATAACAAATTCAGAAAAAAATATTTAAAAATTGTAAAATTTGTTCACATAAGCGCCGATCGTGCCACGTAGGGCGATTAACGACGGCCAGTGTTCATGTCAATGATTTCCGGCCAAAATTAGTTGGATAATCCGAATTGACACAAATACAAAATATTTAAGATTAAATTAGTCAAATTAAAATAGTTCTCTTTCAAATTGGATTTGGATCCTCTGTGAGCATCATCCTTTGACATTCACGAAACTCAAAGTGGGAACGGTGAATTTGGGCGATACTCTCGCTGGAAATAGACTTACACCGCAAAAAAACGGTGAATTTGGGCGATACTATCAAGTAAAACTTGATAAGTGGTGGTGATCGAATGACTGAACAAAAGCATGTTTAGCCCTTCCGATAGTGGTTGCACCGTTTTCTTCTCCAATGAGGTGATCCTTAAGTAGTGTCTTATCAAGTGCTATTAATCTCGCAAATCGAACTCAGAAAATCATGTTTTGACAGATCCTTCCGTCGAGCCGTGCACCTACACTGCCGGCCTCGACGGAACTCGTGTCGGGAGTCATTTAGTTAGTTAAAACCACATCTATCGCTTGCCCTTCACTCTTAGTCTTGTCATGATATCCCGGTAGGCCGAGAGCAAATGGTTTCCACATATCTTCCCTCTTTTTACGTGGGGAATGATAAAAAAACAAGCATAGAGGAAACCAAGATCTCACATATTGGGATGGTTAGACTTAGTAACCCGTGTTCTCTTGGAATTCAGATGGAGTTTGGGATTGATTCCACGCACCTGCCTTGCGTGAACATTCGATATTTTTGTTCCCTCGAAAGTTCCATGCAACTTCTTCACCTTCGTGGCATGTTCTCGATCATGGGATTAGGTCTCACCAGAAATGATTGCATCATGGAGTGCCATTTCATTAGGTGCTTTTAAGGGCATTTTGCTGTTTGGTGTACATTCGTGTCTAGTGAATAATGTGGTTACACATAAGACTAGTTTGAAAACCATAGCACCGCGAGTACACGTAGAAAGAGAGAGAGCATAGTAATAACGCGAATACGTTAGTAAAGCCCCTGAACATTTGCCCGTCATTCCAAAGTCATGCATCGCAATGCGTTTCGTCACCGAAACCCTCTAGAGAATTGTCATGTATTCCAGCCGTACGGCACACTGTCTAGTAATTTCAAGAGTTATATCAATGTCCCAAGCACTTTTCTTTAGTAATTTCAATTTCAAAAGTGCTCAGGAATTATATCATCGTCTAATAATTTCAAGAGTTATATCATTGTCCGGTAAGAATGTGCAAGCTTCGCCATCGTCGAGAAGCGAAGATCATCTTGCTGGACAATCAAGTGTGTTGTAAGGTTATTTCATAATATTTTGTGTTAAAAGTTTTGGCCGATGAGATATGACCAACAGCTCAACAGTCGTACAGATACAGGTAACTCAGACAGATGTAGACACAAAATTCCATGCATGAGAGGCCATGACAAAAGGGAAAGACGGAAGGGAAACGATGGATTCGATCCATTCCATCGTCGAGAACGATTCAACATGAGAGTGATTCAAGAAGCAGAAGATGGATTTGATCCATTCCATCGTCGAGAACGATTCAACATGCGAGTGGTTCAAGAAGCAGCAGATGGGCAGTTTCCTCGAAACTCACCAGCAGCAGCTGCGTACAAAACGTGTTTTGTTGTGTGGCATACAAGCTTTTCACTCGAATAGTAAAGGTCAAATCAACCCGGAGGCTATTGAACTTTAGAGGCGCAGCTGTGATATCACTTGTTGAACGAGAAAACGTGATACAAATATAACACTCACAAAATCTCACTTTCACTATTATAATATTTTTCTCACACCACATACAACACTCGGAGCAAACTAATCCTACAATACTCAGAGTACACTTACTCCTACAAACACTCGACTCTTCTCGCTCACGCAGAGCAACTCTCTCAATCTTGAGACTTTCTCTGGCCTCTCTACCTTTCTCTCATCTCTCTACTTGGACTCCTTGCTCACACCTACAGGAGGAGCAAGTTGCTCCTATTTATAGGACGGAAGGTCGGTGCATTCACCGACTGTGTTGGCTTTCTACAATATTCTACAAATATCTTCCTGTAACAGCTTGGCAACTAGATTTCTTTGGAGAAGTCGAAGGGAGAGAGAGAGTGGCGGTGCTCTCTTCAACAGAGGCGGCGCTGAAGATGAAATCTAGCAGATAATAATCAGTACAGGAAGCAAAGGATACATGTCAAGAAAAGATATAACGGAGAAAGTGAAAGTGGCTATGGACTCCATGATTCAGGCAAAAAGAAATGGATAGAGTTGAGGATGATGTTGGATTTTGAGAAAGTTGATCGAGATGTAGTATCTTTGTGCCATTCATGGAGCGGCTTCGGATGAAGGAGACGGAGGGAAAGAGTAGTATAGCCTATGTTGCACCGACACGCGACACGCGACACGCGACACGACACTACACGACACGCGACACGTCAATTCTCAAAAATATCATTTTCCGACACGTTAGGACACGTATATTAAATATATATTTTTAATAATTAAATACCATCACAATTATAAAATGACCTACCGCAGCTCTTAATAAGAAAAAAAGACAGCAGTCCACCAAAATTTGTTTTCCCCATCCATCTGAACTCCCTATAAGAAAAAAAAAAACGCAGCCCACCCATCTGACCTAGCCCACCACTTTTTCCTTTTCCCCCAACCCACCCACACACGCCCCTTCCCCGACTTCTCCCTTCTTCCCAGTTCCCCAGCCACCACAATTTCTTTCGAAACAGAGAGGTCTACCTGCAGCGAGCGGCGAGCGCGAGCGGGAGAGGGAGCGGCGAGCGTGAGCCGCGAGCGCGACCGGCTAGCGGGAGCGGGAGAGGGAGCGGCGAGCGGCGCGGAGGACGGGAGTTCGTCGGTCGAACAGAGAAGTAAAGAGGCAATCGTGTTTTAGCCCTAATTTGGTGGTCGACGCCTTTTATTGTTCTCTGTTTTCATTTTTTACAAATTTACTCTTCGGACACGCCGGACTCGCGTGTCGGAGGCGTGTCCGGAGAGTTGACTTCGTGTCGGAAATCCGACACCGTGTTGACCGCGTGTCGGAGGCGTGTCCACGCGTGTCGACGTGTCCAACGCGTGTCGACGTGTCCGACACCGACACGTTGGCCATTTTCACGTGTCGGTGCAACATAGAGTATGGCGTCGAATCATGTTCGCTTCGGCTCCAGCTGCTCCTACTACTAGCACTAGGATCCTGCCCGAGCAACTGGCTTTCGAGCATTCTAATTACTTGAGACATCTCGGGTCGGACCGATGGATCGTTGTACGTGCACAACCATGCCAACTGGACTAGTCCCACTGCTTCCTCTTCCACGTAGTTCCCCCGCAATTCGGGATCGATCAACATTTTCAACTCGTTCTTAATAATACATCCGTCCATCCATTCTTCCGGAACGATATGTTCGCCAAACGCCAGCGGAAAAAGGTTCCCAGTCGCCTGTCCGGAGACGAGCATGAGAAGCGTTCTTCTGAAGGCGAAAATGTCGTTCTTCAGTGTGTACTTTCTTGTGGACCAGTACTCTGGGGCAATGAACCCAATCACGCCGTGGATGTGGCTGTCAACGTAAACATCGTCGTAGCAATGATAGGTTTGAGAACCGGAGCTGGAAGCAACTGAATCTTCTACCTGGGACGTTATAGTCCCCTCCTGTACATTTCTCTCGTGCATGATCACGGCAGAGCAGAAACCCGCTATCACCGCCTCCAATTGCGCGTTCAGCAATATACTATGTGGGCAAATGTGGCGGTGCATGATCCTGACATCACCTTGATTGTGCAGGTGCGCTAGACCTCTGGCTGCTCCCAAGGCTATACGCTTGCGAGTTGTCCAATTGAGAGGTCCGGTCGACCGTTCCGGTTGCTTCCCAAGATTAGAAGCGAGGCTGTTGTGGATCATCAAGGGATAGACTAGTAAAAGCTCTCCCTTTGTCCTGCAAAATCCCCTCAGGCTTAGCACGTTTGGGTGCATCGCAACGGAGCTTGCCACTTGCATTTCCCTTTCGAAGATCTCTTCCCTTTCTCGATCGATAGTGATTGCTCGTTTCACTACCACTAGAGAACCATCGGCTAAGCGTCCTCGATAAACCGTGCCGAAATCGCCTTCACCCACGATGTTGCCATGGCTAAAGTGGTTCGTCGCATCTCGCAGCTCCTTTAGAGAGAAGTTGCCATGGCTAAAGTGGTTTGTCGCGTCTCGTAGCTCCTTTAGAGAGAAGCTTTTAGGAGGTGTTGGATCCTCTTCATCGGAACTGGAGAAACTGAAGGTTCGGAGATTGAACACCATGCTCAAATGCTTATATTCTTTGTCACACCCCAAATCCTATAGGTATAGGGACAATGACACGGCCATCCATTCGAAGGATGCAACCTCAAACACAACCAAAGATCCAACTCCCAAAAGTCCCCGTCGATATCGCTCTCGCTCTATTGGCCGCTAATTGAGGAACCTGAAAAAGTTGGAAAGGAATGAGGCGAGTAACCGCAGTTCATTGAGTAGTGCGTATCTCTTTTAAATAGATTAAGCACTCACTATACATAAGTACAAAACTGTATCAAGCTCTCACAATCCAAACCCAAGATATAGCACATGCGCGCGCGAGCACACACGCACATATATATATACACACATAAATCAAGAATGAGTTGTTTAATTTCAACAAAACTTTCTACGTATCAGAAATACTCATTATTCTCAAATACCATATTTCGTGTACGTACAATACCAAAAGCAGGTTATATCTACAAAACTTTATACGTATCAAAAGTACTCTTTCGATCCATAATCACAAATTAAACATCAATGGTCAAGTCCATTGATCAATCTCAAATCACAAATCAATAATCAATTCCACGATGCTCAAATATCCAACTCAAGGCTCTAGAGGTGGCTTCTACAAAATTTACGTTATCATGTAATACTTAGTTCTTGATCAATGTATGTCAACAGTACAAGGTTTTAGAGGGGGCTTCCACGAGACTCGCATTACCGTGTAGCACTTAGCTCTAGACCAACACATATCAACAGTACAAGGCCCTAGAGGTGGTTCTCATGAGACTCCCATCACCGTGTAGCACTTAGTTATTGACAAGTATGTATCACAATTGGTTTAAAAAATCAAAGCATATAACCTTTCACAAATCAATTCTTTCCACCAAACCAATCCAGAATTTGTATCGTAAATTGGTTTCACATACCAAAACACAATCTTTCGCAATTCATCAAACAAAATACATTTCACAAGACATATCTCACATCATTTCGGAATCCATTTCATAAACTCACAACATTTCGAAACGCCTTTCATAAAACGAATCATTATAGAATTCATTTCATAAATCGGCTTGCAACGCAATACATGTATATGAGCAATAAATGTCCGATTTATAACTCATAACATATCACTTTCGAAATATGAGGTCACAAACTTGAAGAAGAAATAACACAGCTCACCTGAGAATGTCCAAAAACCAAACAATGAAGCTCACTTGTATTGACGATATCCTAATCCTATCAATTAAACGAGAATTAACGTCAAAATCAAGTAAAACACAACCTTAACTACAAAACGGCTATGCTAAGCTTTATCGCTAGCAAAGCGACTCTCCTGCGTCAACAAATCGCTCACCAAAAGCGATTATTCAAAGCCATCCGCAACCTGGAGCTTGCATGTCGAACTTGATCGAGCCACAACTCTCTCCACCGAACTCCGTTTCAAGCAAACTTACATTCAAAAGAAAAGCCTTTCGAAGTACTAGAAGACTCATAATTGGCTGATCCAAAGTCGGGCCGAAAACAGACAAAAATCGGCACGAAAAGCTGCTGGTCATTACTGTTTATTACGAGCGTCCAACTTCGAAATTCGTTTCAGGCAAAACGTAAGCTTAAATCGAGTTCCGTAAGATGCTACAGCTTCACAATACCCTAAACTATCATTGCCCAGTATTTTCTCAGCTCAACGACTCCTTAATCGGACCTCGCAACTCAAATTTCACTTAATTTCGAATTTAAGCTCTAATTCCAAAAACTATTCCGATTAGATGAATAAACGGCTTGAATCCTTATCGGATGTTGCGAATCAAAGTAAATCCAACTTGGCGAGTGCGTTTGTGACGGGTACGCGCAAACCTTTCTTCTCTTTTGTCTTTTCCCTTTCTTCCTCTCCCTTTCTTTTTTTTTCAGCAGTTTTTGATGTACAAACTCTACGCGAAATGGAACCCGAGCAAAAAGGAACAGGAAGGGGAAGCAAGGTTACCTTCCGACCAGTGGCTCCCGCCGCTTGTGGGTCAGCTGAGATTGAACGTCGACGCTTCTTGGTGCAGCGATTCCCGAGTGGGGTTCAGCAGCTGGGTCTGTAGAGACGCTCACGGGCTCTTCGTGGCCGGCTTCACCAAGAAAATCCATGCTCCATCGGCCCTCGTAGCTGAAACCCTGGCGTTGAGGGAGGGCATCTCGTTCTTGAGGGAGAAATTGGATAGCAAAGTACAGGTAGAGGAACTGATCGCGAAACGTTACCCGAAGAACACTGAGGGAAGAACAAAGATTGAGGAGTCTCAATCTTGTTCGAACATGAAGAGAGCTGATCTTCTTTGCCTCAGGGAGATGCTTTGGATTGAAGGGCTCTAGAGGAGACGGTGAAGAAGCAGGGGCTGGTCGGCCTTGTTTCTTATAGAGGAGCGAGGTAGACTCGGTCAACGAGAGAAAATCAATCTGTGAAAGTTGGATACGGTGACACGTGTACCGGGGGTCGGGGTTGAGGGGATTGTGGTGGAAATTTCCATGCGGCTTTGTATAGATATACAGTCCCACTTTGGACTTTGGCCTTTGTTCTTTCTGTTGTTCTAAGCGGGGGCCCCACTCGCTTGTTGCCGTCCGATTGTCCTGCACGAGGATTCCAACCGTTGAATCAAGCGACGACCATGACCGGCACTACATAATTTCCATGGAAGGATTATTCGAATCCTCTTGTTTTGAGAAGCATCAATGACATCTAACCCAAGTAGCCAATGACTGTTTTTTGAACAATAATAAAGTTGCATTAGATTATTCATAATGCATATGGCTTCTTCGTTCGAACAGCTACATCAAATATCTCCGCCACCGTCGTTGCCTCGCCCTCTCTCTCTCTCTTTCTCCGAGGACCACAATTGAGGTTGAACGGAGTGCCGCCACGGTAGACTATACATACATATATGAAGGTGGTGGATCTCGAACCTGAGGTTCACGGAGGAGCTTGGCTGTGCAATTGGTGATGGCAACAATGATGAATGGTTGGTGGTACGAAAGGCAGCAGATGGGGAGAGGAGAGAGATGGATCGAGGTTTGGAATTTTTTCGCGCGGGTGTGGCTTTTGGTGTGTTAAATATACAGATGGGCAATAAAAGAGACTGCCGATGCGTGCCGAAGGTCGAGACGGTAGCTAGAGTCTAGAGGCCGCATATGGATGGGCTATGCCGATGGTTAATTTTTTTTTTTGGTTAGTCCTACGTCTACTGCTATTCTACCTCTCATCTCACTTTCAGACTTTTGTCCTAACTCTTGCATAGTGTGGGAATCAAAACCTACACCTGAAACTACGTGTTGTGGAAGCCAAGCGATCGAACAACAAAATCGACAGAATAAGAAAATAAATCGGACACCAGATTTACGTGGTTCGGTCGTAGTGACCTACGTCCACGGGAAGAGCAGCACGGAATTCCACTATAGATCAAGCGATACAACGGAGATTACAACCACACTCAAGTCACTCAAACACTCTCAGTGTTTCCCAAGCCTCAATTACCCCAATAACTCACGTAGTGTTTAGCCCCACAATTCCTCACGAAATAATCTCTCAATCTCGCAAAGGAATTATACATAAATCTTAACACAAGATTTAATCTTGAACACTAATTCTTCTTGGATGTAATTCACGAACGAGAATCCATGAAAACACCCATCGCTAAGCACTCACGAATGCGGCGCTTCCTTCTTCGTGCACAATAGCTTATGGTTCACTTGTACGGCACACCAAGCACTCGCATTAGGCGCTTCAAGACAGCATCTGCCACTACGTTCCTTGCAATATATATTACGTAGCAAAAGAACACACGGAGGCCGACTCAATGTAGAGAAGATAATTCACGATTCGGTCAACAAGTCCAAGTTTGGACTTTCCTATTTCGTTGCGTTGGCTGACTCCAGAAGGGATTTTATTTCCTTCTGTCTCTGACATATGTTGATCCCAGTCAAAGTCAACGATCAACTTTCCTATTCCAGTAGCCAAATTTTCCAACGCGCTTTCGGACTATTCGTAAGTTGATTTTTGTATTTCCATCTTTTGTTCGATTTTGGATAGCCGCAAAATATCCAATTCAAAATATTCAGATTTTCGTTTCAGACTCAAACTCGAGATATATTTTTAACAATATTCACCTTGGCTCGACGTTTGAGCCAAGTCACAATCGCTTTGATAGAATCCGAATTTCGCTATTACTCTCCCACAGCCCCCGATGGGCTCAACCGCCACAAACGTCTTCCAAGTCCAAGCCTCGCTTGAACTTCGCCATAGCCGTGGACCTCATCAGAATACCAACTCCACATGCACCTTTAACTGCTCCACAAGGATCTTCCGACACAACCTCCTCAATTGCAGATAAAGCAAAATCATCATTGCATCCATATCTATCAGGAGACCGAATACGCACCTTGTCAAGTTCAGCAGTTACAACAACTGTTGGCTCAATAGGCTCCACCTCGCTACAAGCACCATCCGTGTCGATTACTTCGCTAGTACCCGCTACCTCAGGAGTTTCTGGTTGCAACTTCACCTCAAGCTGAACACCGTTCAGATCCGTATGAACACTGCTACTAACACTCCTAGCCAGAAGTACTGGAGACTCATCAAATGTAACTTCTCTGCTGATAATATGTGAATTTAATTCCGGGCACCACAACTTATAGCCCCGCTCACCTTGTGCATAACCTAGGAACATGCACTTTCTTGTCCTTCCATCGAGCTTACCATCACTAACTCGAACATAACATGGACAACCAAATATTCTAAGAACAGAATCAGCAACGTTACCTGACCACACTTTTTCGGGAGTCCGACATTCAATCGCAGTCGATGGAGATCTATTCTTCAGGTAGCTCGCCGTACTAAGCGCATCCGCCAGGAATCTCCTAGTCATACCAGCACTAGAGAGCATTTTATGGGCCGTCTCTAGTAATGTTTTGCTCATCAATTCTGCAACATGTTGTGATTCATTGACACTAGTGCGGTGTCTCACTATGCCTTCCTTCATGCAGAATTTGTTTAACAACTCCGAGCAAAACTCCATACTATTGTCAGTTCGCACCTGCTTGATCTTCTTACCAGTCTCCTTTTCGATCAAAGCTTTCAACTGCCTGATTTTGACAACAGCATCAAACTTGTGCCTAAGCACAAACACCCAAGTCTTCCTCGAGTAGTCATCAACAACTGTTAGCATAAATCTGGCACTCTTCCTTGAAGGAAACCGCGACAACCTGCGAACATCCAAGTGAATCAATTCTGCAATTTTCGTGGTTTCTCTAACAATCGCACTGAACTGCACTTTTCGCCGTTGATCTAAATCACAGCACTTGCATACATTCCATTCGTCAGTAGCATAACCACATAGCAAATTCCTTTAACTTAGAACCTTCAGGCTTCTCTCACTAATGTGCCCTAAACGCATATGCCACAATTCAGACTCTCGAACCGATGCATCCGACGTCTCCGCAGCGAATTCCGTCACTGTCTCACCTTGAAGCTCATACAGGCCACTATGCTTGATTCCTTTCATTATCACCAAGGCACCTCGAACAACTTTCAGAAGTCCACATTCTGAAGAAAACCGACACCCAGCTGAATCCAGGGCACTCAAGGAAATCAGATTTTCTTCAACTCTGGAACATGCCTCACTCCAGTCAATGTCTACACAATACCATCATGCATTCTGATTCTAACATCACCAATACCAATAACATTGCACTTCGCGTTGTTCCCCAACTGTACTTTACTACTATCCGTGCACTGATAAGTAGTAAACCAGTTCCTGTTTGGTGTAGCGTGAAAAGAACAACCAGAATCCATAATCCATCCATCAAACGATGAATTATCAGTGACAGACAAGACAAAATCAGCATTATCCGAATTACTGTCAGCTATAGCTGCAACATCATCCTTAGGATCAACTCTAATTCCCTTACTCTTGTCGTTCTTCAGCTTAAGGCAATCCCTTCTAAGATGCCCCCTCTTGCTACAACTCCAACAGATAATACCACCAGTCCTAGACTGACTTCGTCTATTCGAGTTCATACTATTTCTGCTAACACGTGTACCAGTTCTTCCTCTATTTTCACCTACTAAAGCAGTAGATACATGTTTGCCAGATTCTCTTCTACGGATGTCCTCACTCAAAATTAAATCTCGAACACCATCAAACGTCAAACTTATCGACCCAGAGGAATCACTAACAGCAGTAACAGTAGTACTTTAACTATCAGGCAATGAGGATAATAGAATCAAAGCACGTACCTCATCTTCAAAGTCAATATTAACTGAACTCAATTGACTAATGATCATGTTGAATTCATTAATATGATCTGCAACTGATGCACCTTCGCTCATCTTCAAATTAAACATACGTCGCATCAAATAGACCTTGTTGATCGCAGAGGGCTTCTCGTACATGTCCGACAGAGCTTTCATCAAACCCATAGTGGTCTTCTCATTCACGATGTTAAACGCGACGTTATGTGCCAACGTCAGCCGAATAACACCCAAAGCTCGTCTATCCAGCAATTCCTAATCAGTTTGCTTCATCGTCTCTGGCTTCTTCCCAGACAAGGGCAAGTGCAGTTTCATCTAATATAGATGATCCTCAATCCGCATCTTCCAGAAACCAAAATCTTTCCCATCAAATCTGTTGATTTTCACTTTTCCTTCTTCTATCGCCATCGATTCGCTTCAACTCAGCCAAGTCTAGCTCTGATACCAATTGTTGCGGAAGCCAAGCGATCGAACAATAAAATCGACAGAATAAGAAAATAAATCGGACACCAGATTTACGTGGTTCGGTCATAGTGACCTACGTCCACGGGGAGAGCAGCACGAAATTCCACTATAGATCAAGCGATACAACGGAGATTACAACCACACTCAAGTTACTCAAACACTCTCAGTGTTTCCCAAGCCTCAATTACACCCAATAACTCACGTAGTGTTTAGCCTCATAATTCCTCACGAAATAATCTCTCAATCTCGCAAAGGAATTATACATAAATCTTAACACAAGATTTAATCTTGAACACTAATTCTTCTTGGATGTAATTCACGAACGAGAATCCATGAAAACACCCACCGCCAAGCACTCACGAATGCGGCGCTTCCTTCTTCGTGCACAATAGCTTATGGTTCACTTGTACGGCATACCAAGCACTCGCATTAGGCGCTTCAAGACAGCATCTGCCACTACGTTCCTTGCAATATATATTACGTAGCAAAAGAACACACGGAGGCCGACTCAATGTAGAGAAGATAATTCACGATTCGGTCAACAAGTCCAAGTTTGGACTTTCCTATTTCGTTGCGTTGGCTGACTCCAGAAGGAATTTTATTTCCTTCTGTGTCTGACATATGTTGATCCCAGTCAAAGTCAACGATCAACTTTCCTATTCCAGTAGCCAAATTTTCCAACGCGCTTTCGGACTATTCGGAAGTTGATTTTTGTATTTCCATCTTTTGTTCGATTTTGGATAGCCGCATAATATCCAATTCAAAATATTCAGATTTTCGTTTCGGGCTCAAACTCGAGACATATTTTTAACACTACGAGTCCCCACTTCTAGCCTTTCCTGAGAAGGTGGGGAATCGAACTCCGGCAAATGGTAAATGAATCAATTGGTTTTTACAATTAATATATCGGGATCTATTTTTCTTTATGTAGATATATATTCAACCCGAACCCAAATTCACAATATAACACATTTAAACTTCGTAGTATTATATTATCTAAATAAAGCACCACATTATAAAGGAGCAATTAACTAATGAGGATGGTTTTAGTAAAAAATTAAGAAAAAAACAATTTGAATAAGTATTTTAGCTTTTAGAACGAAGAAATGTCAGTTCCAAATCTACATGTACTCTTGCGACCACTGGAGAGCACGATCGACATCGAAAATGCCTGCCTCCTGTGATTGTTGCAATGTGGCCGTTCGGATCGCCGCCGGAGGTGGCGGCAAGTGTTGCCACTCTCCTTTTATTTTCTTTTTTAAAATTTCGCTTTCTTTTTCTATGGCATCACTATTCTTTTTTCTGCATTTTGATCAATCTAGATCATAAATAAGGTAGATCCAAACCCATTGAGGTTATATTCTAGTTGGGCCTTATTGTTAGACCCATTTTAACCTATTTCATTAACAAAATCTAAATGACAAAATTCGATCAAATACAGTAATATACAAGTCAAAACATATGTTCTAACATCATTTTGCCACCTCTAAAAGTAGCGCTAACACTTCCCAGTCAGCCGTAGTTTAATACAGTATGCTCAAACTAAACAGTATGCTAAAGTACTTGGAAAGTGATAGTTTGTCAACCATCCTCCAAGCCTTGGGCCAGGCCGAGACAACATGGATAGCCCAGATAATTGTTTAGGAATGTTGTCAGCTCATGGCCCTATTACAGGGAGTGATTATAGCCCATTGCTCAAGGGATGCTAATCAGGTTGCGGATTGGGTGGTCAAAACTCATCGGAATGATTCTTTTAGCTTGAATTGGCTCACTAAGCCCCCTATCCTCTATGTTCTTTCTTATGTTTCGATTTTGAACCCTTTTGTGGTTTAAGTTCTGGTCATTAATGAAGTAATGCGCTTTGGCGACAAATAAAAAAAAACCCACATATTACATTTTTCGTCAATGCAAAGGGACGGTATATGCGTGATAATTTCCTAGAATTCCTTTTATGCATCTTAATAACAAAACACAATGTTAGAATTTTAGAAAAATGTATTTTAGGTCAGATTTGAAATGGTCCGTCAAAGATAGAGAACGAGTCCAACATAAGTTTGACACAAAGGAATGCTGGAGAAATGAATGACAATCATAATGAGATTTCTATATCAAAGTTGTATAACATTTGCAGAGTTAATTGTGAGACTCATGTAAACTACGTCGTGAACTTTTATATCAGGACAATTTTGGCCTCACTTTTTCTTTTTAAAACGATATATCTAGTAATTCTATAACAAGGAGAAAGCTCTGTTTTTATTGAAAAAAGTACTAGATTTTGCTGGACAAGAAAGTGTTGCGAAGTCATTATGGAACTAAAATGTTAAATCGGATTAAGTAACCTTTAGGATCAGCATAGTTAATTCCGGCTCGGGAGAATTTCAACTCAGGAATTGATGGTCAACTGTTTAAAACTTCACAAATTGTGTGCTAATTTTTCTAGCTCAAGGCCCCTGCTTTAGATAAAGGACACATATCTAGGTTAAATGCCCATACTTAACCGGTTTACTAGACTTTTGCACTCGTGCCCCTAAGTTATAAAGGAAACGGATCGGGAAAATGACATAAATAGCCTTGAACTTTGGTCCAGTATGCAAAGTCGTCCCTAAACTTTTCATTTGTTCAACGTGGTTCATGAACTTTTGTTCAATGTGCAATGTTGTCCCTGAATTTTTAATTTATTTAATGTAGCTCCTAAACTTTGCTCCGATGTTTAATATGTTCCATTAACTTTTAAACATTTTCATATAGTTCATGGACTACATTGAATATCTACCAATAGTTCATGTACCACATTGAACAAATTAAAAGTTTAGGGAAGATATTGCACATTGGGTCAAACTTTAGGGACCACATTGGACGGAGTAAAAGTTTAGGGATGACATTGCAAGTTGGATCAAAATTTAGTGATCAATTGTGCTATTGTCCCATTAAGAGACGAACTTACGGCTGAGTAGACGTATAGATTGAGTTGATGGCATAAGATCTGGAAACAAAAATGTCATCCATTGAGGGCCACTACGGAGGTCCTCTGCAAATACTAATTTCAAAGTCTCGTAAGGTGAAAGATCCAAGCGTTCGTACTGTTTTATGAAAATCGTAGACAACCTCAACTCACTGCCACTGGAATAACCATTAACTAGCAAGTGAGGTGAAGATGGGCTTGTTTACTAGCATCATTGTATGATTTGCTTCCCCCCTTCCTGCTTGATCCCCTCCTTGCATTTTTTCATCCACAAATACAGTCATGTCCAGTCACAAACTTAAACAACTTGAGAGCCGAGTCTCTCGAATTCGCCCCTCCGCTAAGTGTGTACATTGTCCCTCGACATTAACAACACTGACAAGTCTCGCTCTCGGTCGAGTTATCCTCCCTCGTTGTCAATCACGACGGATTCGCAAAAGTCGTGTTGTGGTCAAACTTGCATTGCCGGAAGTAAATGGAGAATAATTCAGTCATCATCGATGGAAAACAACAGAAGAACTAGTTGTCCAGGAGTACAGAGCACAAGGATCTAGTCAATTTATCCCCAAATTCACCAAAAAGTGGTTAAGTTTCGCTTAGATCCCTCACAACCATATGACATCGGGTAAAAATTTACTTGACATATCGATATACAAGTTGAGGACCCTGCGCTTTGCAGAATTTGAGAATTGACTTACTGATATTTGGTGATACTTGGTGATACTTACAAGCTTAATTTTTATGAGTAGCTCAAAGTTTCTGCAGCAAAGTTTGACATTCATTCGCAGATACTCGATAGATTAAAACGTCGCCTTTTTTTATGTCTCTTGAATCATTACTATCGATTTGGCTCGGAAGATAGCAATCCTTACATGAAACACATAATACATGTTACAACAGATTAGCAGAGACAGTGGAAGCAGAAGATGATGTTATATGAAAGAAGGTTGATCAAGATGTATTATCCCCGTGCCTGTCGTAGAGCAATTTCGGATGAAGGAGAAGAAGGGAAAGAGTAGTAAGTGGTGGAATCACTGCTTCGACTCCGACTGTGCCAACCGCTAGGATCCTGCTCCTGCACAAGCAATTCGTTTCCGAGCATTCTAACCACTTGAGACAGATGGGGTTGGACCGATGGATTAGTATCCGTACACAACAATGCCAATCGGACTAGTTGCTTTGCTTCTTCTTCCACATAGTTCCCCCACAAATTGGGATCAATCACTCTTTCGAACTTGTTCTCACTCATCATTCGGTTAATCCATTTTTCCAAACTGAGATTTTCGTCTTCTAACAGACCAAACTCCTTACTCTTCTGTCCACAGATAAGGTGGAGAAGAGTTTTGCCAAAGGCGAAAACATCGCTCTTTAGCGCGTGCCACTCAATAGTTCCCTTATCTGAATTCCTCTCGTCCTCAGTGTCCAAATTTCCCGTCTCAGCCTTAGATAGAAAATTTAGCCATATACTTGGCAGACTAAAGCGGCGATGGATGACGCTAACATTACTTTGATTGTGCAGCTGGTGCGCAAGACCTCTTGCCGCTCCCAAGGCTATACGCTTGCGAGTCATCCAATCGAGAGGTCGGGGCGACCAGTCTGGTCTCTCTCTACGACAATAAGCACGGCTATAATGGATCATCAAGGGATAGACCAGGAAAAGCTCCTTTTTGGTCCTGCAAAAGCCCCACAGACGTGGCACGTTCGGGTGTGTCGGAACCGAGCTTGCGACTTGCACTTCTCTTTTGAAAGCCTCTTCCCTCTCATGACCAATGGTGATTGCCCTTTTCACTGCCACCAGAGAACTGTCCGCTAAGCGTCCCCAGTAAACCATGCCGAATCCACCTCCCACGAAGTAGTTGTCGCGGCTAAAGTTCTGTGTCGCGGCTCGCAGCTCTTTTAGGGAGAAGCTCCTAGGACGTGTTCGATCATCTTCATCGGAATCGGTGAAACTGAAGCTTCGTAGATTGAACACCATGTTCGAAAACTTCAGTTCTTCTTCAACACAAATGAGTCGTATGAGCCTGATGATTTCTCGTGGTAGTTGCTGATTGATTCTGGAGTTCCCTTTTACGGACCACCATAGAAAGACAGTCTTCGGATACTTCAGAAGTGGTTTTTGTTTTTTGGGCCAAATTGTCAAACATGGAGAAAAGTCCACGTTGAACTCTGATAATCTAACTTGGTTTAACATGGAAAATGAGCGAACCTGATCCAGAAGACTTGGTCTCTAGAGGGAAAGTCCACGTTGAACTCTGACAATCTAACTCGGTGTTCGACTGAAGTTGGGACTTTTGTGTGGATGTCGGAATATCGTGCAAGAATCGCGAACAAACTTGTTTCCTAGTTGAGGTTGGCCACTTTCACGTTTTGTTGACACACTTACGTTCAATCTTTCCATCGGCATATGTTTCTGTCGTGTAGGGACCTTTTGTGCAGTGGTGTGCCTGCTGCGGCTTCTAGATTGTGGCCGGCAACATTCGCGAATTACCTCCCGAAGAAATCGTAAGTGTTTTGAAGAGGAATAAATCTTACGGACGAAAAGCTACAAATCTTCCCCGAAAACAGAAGGTCATGCCCCTTTTTCTGATTTATGTCTATCAAAAATCATAAAGGGTTGATTCCCGCCACGTTACACTTTCAATTGAAAGAGGTTCACTAATTCCAACGAATAGGATTCGAGAATCTATTTATTAGATTGAGAGATTGTTTTCACTATTTAGTGTAATTGGGGACTAGAAAACACTAGCAGTGTTTGGGTGACTCTAATGTGTTTGTAATACTTATTGTATCGCTCGATCTATAATGGAATCTATGTTGCTCTCTCTGTAGGTTATGTCATATCGATCGAATCACGTAAATCCGGTGGCCGAATTATTTCCTTGTTCCGTTTAGTATATTGTTACAAAGTTAGAAGAGATCTTACAAACAGAAAAGGAAGAGAGTATATAAAGTTTTCTTAAATGAGGTATCAATAGAAGGAGAAAGCCCTTAGTTGGACGAAAAACGTAAAAAAAAAAAGTGTCCATACCATTAAAAATTCCAAACCGATATCTCACGATGCATTAATAAAAAATTTAATTTTTGTCTCATTAAAAATCCCAATTGCATTAAAAAAAAAAAGGGAGAAAGTCCTTATGATACTTGGAGACTATATTCTGAGTCTCTGGTGCTGACCTTGAATAAGTAAAGGAAAGAAAGACATCCATTTTTATCTAATGTGAAGTGAAGGTATCCAAGTCAGAACTATATTCTTCAAAAAAATGGAAAGCATCATATCCTGGTCTAACAAAACGGAAATGTTTATTACAGTTGCATGGTCTTGAAAATTGACGTATTGGAATTTTCTTTGGTGACATAGTGTTCATACATTACAAGTTGTATAAAACATACATATGTCAATATACATAATAATAACAATCAGACATAAAAGCAAGTAATATTGATCTATCAAACTATGTCTTGTTTATTTCAATGTTTTTGTTGTTTAGTTTTCAATAAATACACAAATAGCAATATTCCGAATTGAAATCCTTTCATTTTGTTTCAATAGTATGTAGCTAATTGTCTGGTATGATTAAGATATGTTTCGTGCTTTGATGTAATAACGATTTTCTCAAGGCTTTTGAGTGTCCGAATAATTGAGATAGTGCAAGTAATAATTGGATCGATAAGGATTTCTAAATAATTCTTTTTATGAGGAAAAATGATGGAGACGTAACTATTTCGCGATATAAAAATTTCGATGTGACAACATAAATACATAACCACATTAATTATATACTTTGGCTACAAATTCTGTTACTTTTGCATTTCTTATTAATCATATGGCTAAAGAAGCATGACTTTATTCAATTATTTGGAAATATACAATTTCTTTGTGGTGAAATCATGCTTGTGCGTGATGGGATTTACCTTAAATAGAATCGGAACAATCACACAGATAATAGAAAAATTGACAAACGAGTTTATCTAGGTTCACCCCAAAATAGGGCTTCGTCCTGCAAAGGGATTCCACTATGATATTTAGGTTTTACAACCACAAACACTTGTTACAATGATATCTCATACGAGTACAATATATATATGACTTAAAATGGGCCTAAAGTCCAAGCCTATCCGAATCCCTTTGATCCCACAATAAACGGTTCAGCAAATCCGATGTTGTTTCGGAGGCGTTGCCCTCGAGCCCCCGTCCACTCACCAGGAAGCAAAACCCCGCCTGCTGTCCGGGCAGCGGGACTCCCGACATTCTGTGCGTAAGGGTCATATGTCGTCGGTTCATATTTCGGTTTTCTTAAACTCACGTGGGCATGCCTGCTATGAGAAACAAGGGTCCTCGAAGTATTCGCCAACTCCAACAGTGCATATATACAGTAATAGATAAATTCATGACTAGAAGAGGTAGATGTAATCCTACGCAATTTATATAACTCTGATTTCATCATTGGTAGCAATACTAGTACATATGACCAGTCCTTAAGTACGCGTTACGATTGGCGCCTTCTTTTTATTTCTTATGCAACATGATCAATTAATGACAAAATTTATACCATCAATTGGTTGTAGAAATAAAATATTGGACATTGTTTCCTTTTTTTTTTACAACTATCATGCACACCTTTCTAGAGAGCAAGCATTAAATAAACAATTTTCTAATATTTGAATGCCAGAAGAAGAAGAAGAAGAAGACCTATCCAAAATTGAGAAAGAAAATAAAGAAAAAGCATTTTAAATTTCCTCACATATAGATATAATACAAGGTTTAGAGCACGATATCCATACAAAAGTGTATCTCCACACCAGCTAGCTCCGAAGAACAACTATACCAAAAACATGTACAACATTTTATGAAAGGAAAGAAGTGGCATACCATGGCTGAGTGAGCGATACTCATCTCACTATGGGGTCGAACACCAAGTATACACATTTTATAAACATCGCTTTCGCTAAAACTATTTAAGAAACTTATAGAGCCAAACACATTTGTAGCAATAAATCCATATAGTTCACAACATTGCAGTTCAACATAAAGTACAAAAGAGGATGTCAACGTTCAAGTCCATCGACTAATCTCTCATCCATTGTCACACCCTATTACCATGTGTTATCCCCGTGGCAAGGCTCACAACCAAGTCTCCCCTGGTGGAGGTCATCCCTATGTGTAGTCTGTGCACTTTAATTAGACTTCATTTGTTTCGCCGGAAACGAGTGATTTGAAAAATATTTTCCTCAAAATGATGACTTATATCGCTTGAAATAATTAGTTAATAGAAAATATTTCCATTATTGACAATAATTTATGTCTCAATATTTTCGCGGACAATAAAAAAAATTATCGTTCATTCATTTTTATGAACGATATAAGTAGTTATTTTTGGAAAAAACATTTTCAAATCATTTATTTTTCTCGAAATAAATGGAGCCTTAATGTCCAAATCAACTTTGCTCGATCTCTCCAGAACATTTCTATTGGCAGTCAATAAGTGAGAGGAAAGGCTCGATCGCATCTCTGGTTTTGAACCCTTGGTCAAAGTGATCGGCCTTGTCCTTTTCTTATACAAGAATACTCTTTGCAAATCTGCTTAGCCGATTAAAACGAGCCGGATACTCAATAAAAAAACAGGCTCTCTTATTTTTAATTTTTCTCATCTTTGGGCGTCTCGTTTTACACGTTGAATCGCAAGCTTTACTAGATTCCGTGTTAATTCACAACAAAGTGAATCACGAGACAAACTTGTGGCTTAATAATCCGACAAGTATTGTTAACCGGATAGGGTCTAGGCGCGAAAGTTTTGTCCATAAAGGGCGACGACAGAGGTCTTCTGCCAACGTTAACGACAGATAACAAGAGGGAAGACCGAGGAAAAAGATGGATTTGAACGAGTCCATCACCTAGAAGAATTCAACATTGTGCTATTCCAGAAGAAGTAGATGATCGACAGTTATCTTTGAAACTAACCTCCATATACAATTGTCAAAGTTCAACATTCATTCACCATTAGCCACTGGAGAAAACGTGACTTCTTCGATCATTCTTTTTCGTTTGGTGGACTTTTTTTATGCTCTATTCGTTTCGCGAAAAATGTTACGTTTTTTAATAATCTTTTCCTGAAAGCCATTTACTTTGGAAAATGACATAATTTTCCGATATTCGGCTGAAATCTGAAAATGTCTCGAAAAACATTTTCCGTTGTTCGGTATGGAAAATATTTTACTCCTTGCAATACTTTTAATAAATTTTTATTTTTATTTTTATTTTCTTCTTTTTCCTTCTTCTTCTTCTCTGGCTGGTCGCCGGCCACAGGCGAGCTCGAGCCTCGCATGATTCGGCGAGGCCGAGCTCCCCCAAGGTAGCCAGATGTCGGCGAGACTTTGGCGACCTCGGGCGAGGCTCGAGCCTCGCCTAGCTCGCCGGATCTGGTGAGGCCCGAGCTCGTCGGTGAGGCGAAGCCTCCCCACAAGCCGGCGCTCGACCTCACCAACCTCGCCGGCCTGTGGCGAGGCTCGAGCTCGCCTGTGGCCGGCAACCGACCGGAGAAGAAGATAGAAAAGAGAAAGAAGAAGAAAAAATAAAAAATAAAGAAAAAATAAAGAATATAAATATAAATATAGAGGATAATTAAAAAATAAAAAATAGAATTTTTAAAAAAGAAAATAAAAATAATTATAATGAATGATGAAAGAATGAGGAGGGAAAATGCTTTCCTCTTTTCAAAAAGCGAAAAAACAGTTTCCTTACTTTTGAAGGTGTTTTGTTCGTTGAGGGAAAATGTTTTTGGCGGTTAGTTTATTTTCCGCCCTCCGAATACCGGAAGACCCAGAAAACCTGGCAAACATTTTTCGCGAAATGAATGGAGCCTTAATCTCTCTTTGATTTCTAGCTATCGCTCCCGTGATAAACTAGGACAAGTGATCCTTACACGAAGCACACGATATGTGGAAGACCTTTGGGTACTCTAGCTGTGATATGAACCATGCAAACTTTGCATAGATCCTAATGAGCTCCAATATTGCCTTTTTCTGAAATGGATGGACTGAAAAATTTGCTCCAAGAGGATCCAGTATTGGCTCAACTGAGATGTACTAAAGAAGGATCTTATAAATGGAAATGGAAATGAACATATATGAACTTAGGCACAAGAGGTAGAAGACGAACTTCATGTTGAAAGTAAAAAAGCAGACACTGATCAAGATGTAGTATCGCGAGTGCCGGTCATTGAGCAATTTCCAATGAAGGAGAAGGAGGGAAAGAGTGGTAAGGAGTCGAATCACACTCGCTTCGGCTTCAAGTACTCCCACTGCTGTGATCGTGCCCAAGCAATTGGCTTTCGAGCATTCTAACCACTTCAGACATCTCCGGTCGGACAGTTGGATCGCCATTTGCGCACAACAATGCCAGTCGGACAACCTGCTCTGCTTCTTCTTCCACATAGTTCCTCTGCAAATTGGGATCGATCAATCTTCCCAACTCGTTCTTGTTCATTAATCCACCAATCCATTCCTCCAAACTGAGATTTTCATCATACGCCAACGCATTAAGTTTTGCAGATGGCTGTCCAGAGATGAGCTCAAGAAGCACTTTCCCAAAGGCGTGAACATCATTCCTCAGTGTACACTTTCCTGTGTGCAGGTACTCGGGGGCAATAAGCTCAACTCTGCCGGCGCGATAGGTGGTGTCAACATAAACATCTTCGTAGAGATTGTCGGTTGGAGAAGCGGAATCAGAATCAGCTGAATCTTCTCCTTGGGATGAGGATGAGACACCAACGGGGTGCTTGAGTCTGGGCCATTGAATAGACCCTTCCTTCGCATTTCCGTCGTGCATGATAAGGGCACGCCAAAAGTTTCCTATCACGGCCTCAAATTGGTCATTCAGGTATATACTTGACGTGCAAATGTCGCGGTGCATGATCTTGACATTGCCTTGATTATGTAAGTGTGCAAGACCTCTAGCTGCTCCCAGGGCTATGCGCATGCGAGTCGTCCAACCGAGAGGTTGGGTGGACCCATCCGGTCTATGTTGAAGATGATATCTTAGGCTCTTGTTGATCATAAAGGGATAGACCAGAAAAAGCTCTTCCTTGGTCCTGCAAAAGCCCCTCAGGCGTAGCACATTCGAGTGCGCTGAAACTGAGCTTCCCACTTGAACTTCTGTTTCGAACTGCTCTTTGCTAAATTCAAAGACAGCGCGTGCTCTTTTTACCGCCACTGGAGAACCATCGGCTAAGTGGCCCCGGTAAAGCGTGCCGAATACACATTGGCAGAAGAAGTTGTCTCGGCTAAAGTTGCGTGTGGCGACTCGGAGCTCCTTTAGAGAGAAGCTTTTAGGAGGTGGTGGGGGACCATCCTCAGCGGAATCGGCGAAACTGAAGGATCGGAGATCGAACACCATGTTCAAGAAATCCCAATTCCTCTTTAACACTAATCGGAGGGTACCGATTGATTCCCGAAGCCGCTCGAAGGAACGCTTAGGAGTGAAAACATAGCTCTGTGATCGATTGGCATAACAACTCGTCCACCATCTTAGCCTTTTTATACACACGCCGGAAGCGATCACCGTGTGAGAAATAGACGATTTCAAATTGGAGAGAGAGTGACGGATCAAAAGAAGACTTGATCAAACCAGAGGAAGATTTCTTTTCTTTTGATTTTTCCCTTTTTGACGGATCAAAACAGAGGAACCTTCTAATGAAATTGCAATTAGCACGATTGGTCTTTCCTTGTTCGTTGATTCCTCTGATGATGAGCGCGAGAGTAATGCTCTATCTCTGCGCATTGAAAATTTCATGGAAGAGACCTAACTAGTCTTTTCTTTTATTAAAAATTGGGAGCATAATAATTATGAAGAAATATGCTCTAAATCCGTTAGATAGTCCGTCAATAATCTTTTTTTGGGCAACTATGGCGGTTGAGCTTCGCACCATCACAAGAAGATGGGGTTCAATTAGTGTGATAGATTAAGAATAAAACGCGCAAAAAATATTCTTTGAAAATTTGCTTAACTGATTAAAACGAGCTGCATACTCACTAACAACAAGCTCTCTTACTTTTAGTTTCTCTCTTTAAGCATCTTATTTTATATAATTGGATTGCAAGATTTATTAGATTCCACATTAATTCACAACAAATTGTATGGTAATACAAGCATATGGATTAATAATCCTACATACATAGTTGACTGGAGAGGGTCTAGACACAAAAATTTCATACATAAAGGGCCACGACAGCAGTCTTCTGCCAATATTAAGGACAAACAGCTAAAAGGAAGACCGAGGAAGAAGATGGATTTGAACGAGTCCATCACCAAGAAGGATTGCACATCGAGTGATTGAAGAAGAACCAGATGATGGACAGTTTCCTTGAAACTTACTTCCCTAGAAAATGGTGCGTCCTGTGAGGATATTGCGGAGTCCATCACGTACTAACTTATTAAAAGAGAATAAAAAAGTCAACTCATCCTGTAATTGAGGTCGTTGACTCACGAATGATAATTATGTCCCTAGAGTGATAAGAGGACCTCCTACTTGTTTATGAACCAAGGAATTGAGGAGAAAAATTCAAATGGTTTTCTATTCTGCGACCTACAAATTTGTTAACACTCCACTCTATTCCATGTTCCCGATGAATCATCATCGGGCTTTATCGAGTGCATGTGCATTAGCGCACCTGAACCTGTAGTTAGATGGATTCCGCATGGAAAGAGTATTGAATCGATTAACTTTGCCCAGTGCTCAAGCCACCAATTGGCCCAGCGCTAGCCATTTGAGAGGATTAGTTGCATACACAAGAGCCTTAAAGCTTGAGTTACCCACACCGTGGAATTTCACTCGAGCTATTTCCCCCTGGTAAGTCGAACTATATTCATCATTGTTCCTTGATCCAGGCGCATTGTTTTAAGGATTTGGACTTATTCCTAGACTTTGAATGGGAATACCGACATTAAACCTCCCAGGATCTTCAACTGTGGGTGAAGTTTCTAAAGCATTCGCTCTAATGTTGGATGTGTTATCATTCACAACTAGGCGGTACATGCCAGGAGATAAATCGCTTCGCTTGGAGTTAGGATCAAGAGCATAAACTCCTCTGTCATTTCAGGAACTGCTCAAGAAATTGAGTGATCTTATGAAATTGCTGTCGGGAGGTCCATCTTGTACACACTGTTTCTGTTTACTGGTGCTGCGATCGCTTTTGGGTGGTGTGAACGAAATGAGAATCGGCATATACTATGGGCCGATGCCTATTGTGGGGCTCACTCTAAAGTCTTCCCTTGATTTTTTTGAATAGCTTTGTGGAGAGAGAACGAGGGTTTTGATTGCCTTGAAGCTTCCATATTTTTTCCGCGAGAAATAAGTTATGCCCCCGTTCTACTAACCTTTTAAAGCTGCTTGCAATGTTCCAAAGGGATGATATGTGCCGAAGTATCGCTAGAACATCAATCAAGTGCCTTAAACATGAAGGGAATGCACAATCGCACAATTGAGCAGGTCATTAAAACCTCTCATGACTGCACGATCCGTTTGCATGGCACTACATTCAGCACTAAGTCTCCTCATTCCCCAACTCGCTGACATTTAGTGAGAGCTTAAGAGAGGTAGATTTGATGAGGAATCGAACTACACACTTCTTGATCGTCCGAATGAGGTTAAAGTTACAAATGTCATTGCTCTTGTCGTTGCCTCCCCACGAAACGGTGCTAATCAAGTTAATTTAGAAGGAAAGGAGATTCCTTGGGTTGAAAGTATCAGAGTCGACTCCCGACCGTGTGTGGGGCCACAGCGAGGACGCTGTGCTCGAAGGAGGGAAGAATGTAATGACCCGGTCCGACGAGGGCAGGGAGTGGTCGCCGGGGCCAAAAGGGCCTGGACAAGGAGCGGCTTCCGGCAGGCTTCTAGGATGACAAGAGGAGACATGTCTCCTGTCCCACATCGCCTAGGGAGGGAGCCTTGGGCTTGCTTATAAAGGTTTTGGAAACCTTAACTTACAAGAGGCCTTTTCTATGGGTAGTATGGGCTGCCCTCGGAGGAATAAAACCGTAAGGACTTAGTGTCCAAAGCGGACAATATCTTGCGAGTGGGACCCAGGTCATTACAGAAAGTTTGCCCAGAAGTAGTTGAATTCCACCAGGTAGGTGTGAAGTGTGGAGAGGAAGATGTGCAATCTTGTCTACCGAAAAACTTCTAGAAAGCTTCATGAGTTTACCTCACAGGAAAGAAAGTCAAAACCAACTAGTCCAACCATATCCTCCTCTGGAAGCAGAGAAACAGATATGTGGAAAATGCAGGCAGAGAATGAAAGTGCCAACAACTGGAATTTTCTTTTTATACGTTAGGATTGATGTGCCATGCCTTTGAAGAAGCGCATAATTTTCGCAAGAACAATAGAACTTTCTTAACAAACTTAAACCGTAAAATATGAGATTTGACTAAGTCAAGGGTGGAAAAGCAAAAAAAGAAAAGAAAAGAGGAGGGAAAAGCATTGAAAAGTCAACAAAACAGGGAAAGGGACGCTCGGCAGAATAAAGCAGAGAGACTGAGTGTTGGAAAAAATATGCTCATTCGAATTGTAGAAGAAAAGAAACTTCAACTTAAAACGGGATCAACAACGAATTTAGACTTTGAGGTATGATATCACTTTTTTTAAGGAATTATTTGCCCTACGAAGTTGGTAATGGTCACCGGCAAATTTCCTCCACGATACAATAAAGTCTCGATTGAGAATACCGAATAATAATTTCGGTATATCTCCAGGGTCTCTCTAGAAAAATAATTAGAAAAAATGGCTGCAGTTTTTTGAAATGAAAAAGTATCTAAAAATCCGAATGAAGAGACTTAATATTCAACCATGTAAAAACTGACTTACTAATCATACATTTTCGAACAAAGGCGTCCCTTCGTCAAAAAGATGTATAGTGAATTGATACGAAATTAAAACTTACGTTGAAAACAACGATATATGAAAATTCAGAATAAAATAATAATAAAATAAAAGAATAATATTTTTTTAATCATATTTATTTTTTAATAATTTTTATTAATCCGAATTTTATAAATTCTGAAAAATAATCTTTGAACAAATACAACCTTTCAACGTTGAAGGAGTTATGTCCGAAAAGACATAACTTTCTAAAGTTGAAGTAGTTATGTCCGAAGGGACACAATTTTTCTAAAGGTTGTAAGAACGCCTAATAACTGTTAGGCTAAATAATAAATTTCGAAATTAATTAATAAAAAAATAACCGCAACTCTATTGCGAACAGTCACATTGTTTCAATAGGATAAAATCGTTGTTTTATAATAATAAATTCGAAATTTAATAAATAAAAATAATAAACGAGGATTAGTGCTAATTATCATCCGCGAGCGTGCTAAGCGCTAAATGCTAAATGCGCCTAATAATCGACACCCCATTGTCTTCACTTTAACAAGAAAGAAGATACTCACGTGTATAAAGTGGTTCACCTTTTCAAAACTTTCCTACGTGGGACAAAGGAAAAAGAACTATTTTGTTTGTTTTACAAACAAACAATCAACACCGAGAGCTCTCGTGCGCACAGAAAAAGAAAGGGAAAGGGGGGAGAAAGAAAGAAAAGAGGAGAAGAAAATTCAAGTATTTGCGCCACCGGCACTTCGCCGAGCCGGATTTATTACGTATCACAATGCTCAGCAAGTGCTCGCGCCCCTTGTTTGTCCAATTGGAGTAGTTTTCGGATTTAGGTCATCTATTTGAAATTTTGTGAAATTCGAACTGCATAGTTCGATTTTTGAGATATTGAGCTACGAGATTTCATGGGAATGGTGGATTATGGAGTTGTGGAGCCGTGGGTTTGACAAGAGTCGTTTTGGAGCAATGATTTAGTTGGGTGAAATTTTACGATTTCGCATTTGAGTTTCATGTTGCCTTTAGGCTTAAGTAATTGTTTCGAGTGAGCAATTTGTTGTTGCGTAGGAGTAGTTTTATTAGCGTTTTAGCGTCGTTTAACCGAGCCGTAGTTGAGGTTGCGTTGTACTTGATTTTGACGTCGATTCACGTTTAATTGTTAGGATTACGAGATCGTCGGTTCAAGTGAGTATCATTGTTTGGTTTTTGGGCATTCCCAGGTGAGTGATACTATCTCTGCTTTGAGATTGTAAACTCATATTTTGAAAATGAAATGTATGAGACATATTACGTGCAAAGTGTCATTTGGCCAAAGAGGAAAAGTGATGTTTATGGCATATTTGATGCATAACTTCGGATCGAGCATTTACTACCCTATTTGTTATTTGAAATGTTTAAGAATTGTTTATGAAATGAATTGCAAAAGGTATTCTAGTGGATGAGTTGAGTTGCGAAAGATTGTATGTTTTGTTTTGTAAATCGATTTGTGATATGGATTATGGATTTTGTTTTGAGAATTGTTAAGGATGTTGTTGTGGATTAGTGCTTATAACAGCCCGAATTTCGATGTAATTTCCGGGATCAATGAAACTGATATTATTTCGCATTTCATTTTAGT